GAGCTGCAGCGTCTGCGGGATGGCGCTGTGCCAGGGCAGCATCCTGGAGGTGGATATGCCAGTCATGGGGGGAGGGAGGCTGTTGGGGGTCGTGGTGGGGTCTACGCCATTGATGGGGGTCACTTTAGGGGTTAATGCACATTTGTATAACTCCAGTTGATCGGGTTCATAATTTGCCTCGAGTAATGTGAGCTGCTCTGGCTTTTCCCAAGGGATCACAATCTTTAAATCGCTTCAAGAATCTTGGTTACTTGCCATTAACAAAGCTTCTTCTTTTCTCTGAATTTTCCTTGGGGCAGTGGCTCCCTCTAGTTTTGGATGCTCTCCTGGGGCTGGGGCACTGTGGGGATGAGCATCTTATAAAAGCTTGACTAGAACTCAAGTTACAAACCCTCCAAGGTCCCTATATTTCCCCCCCTCTTGCTCCCCTTTTTAATGCTGTGTTGAATCTGTAACTCTCATAGAAACATTGATATTGGCATTAGGTGTGATAGAGCTTTTAACAATCATTACAAGAGTCCTGCTTTGACCTGATGGTGTCACCTTAAAGCCACACCTCCTTGCCATTGCTAGCTATCTTACATGCAGCTGGAAAAACACACAGAAATTATTTATCTTAAACACATGATGTTGACCTGATGAGAAAAACAAACTAGAGCTAACTGCGGTAAAGATTAATAGTAATTCCTTCAAAATTTCACCAAGATATTAAGCAGGACTTCCTATTGGCCTTCACTTTAAGAGCAATGCTACTGTACAACTACTTACTTTTGAAACATTAAGATGCATGTCGCTTTAATGGAATGTCAACTTTTGTATGAATTAATAAAGGGGTAAGGAAGAGTAATTAGCGTAGGAGAGCCTGGGATTGGGAGCAGGCCCTCTCTTATTCTGGGGACAATATCCGTTTCTCACTTCAGTGTGTATTATGCCCCCTCTCTTTTGTTGAAACCAAGTTATCTTTTCTGTGAACTCTGCTTTCTGCGACTTGAGGCACATGGAGTGACAGTGTTTAACTGTAAACATTAAGATAATTAACAGATGCTCTCTGGAAATTGCACTTATAACAACCTATCACTAGCTTCAAATGATACAGGATCTAGTACTGTTGATGTCCCAGTAATTGTCGGTTTCAGAGTAACAGCCGTGTTAGTCTGTATTCGCAAAAAGAAAAGGAGTACTTGTGGCACCTTAGAGACTAACCAATTTATTTGAGCATGAGCTTTCGTGAGCTACAGCTCACTTCATCGGATGCATACCGTGGAAACTGCAGCAGACTTTATATATACACAGAGAATATGAAACAATACCTCCTCCCACCCCACTGTCCTGCTGGTAATAGCTTATCTAAAGTGATCATCAGGTTGGGCCATTTCCAGCACAAATCCAGGTTTTCTCACCCTCCACCCCCCCCACAAATTCACTCTCCTGCTGGTGCTAGCCCATCCAAAGTGACAACTCTTTACACAATGTGCATGATAATCAAGTTGGGCCATTTCCTGCACAAATCCAGGTTCCCTCACCCCCCTCCCAAAAACCACACACACAAACTCACTATCCTGCTGGTAATAGCTCATCCAAAGTGACCATTCTCCCTACAATGTGCATGATAATTACGGTGGGCCATTTCCAGCACAAATCCAGGTAGATCTGTGGCAGAGAGTCAAAATTTTGTGACTTGCTAGTCTAAGGAGTGGAATGCCCAACTCTGAATAAGCAACTCTGCACAGGAAGGTAATTTAACTTTGCAGTAGCCTCGTTCCTTTAAAGGATTTTAATAGTACAGAAATTATTTTTTGCTTTAAATTCTGACCAGAGTGCAAGTATTGTCTGAACATGACTGAGTGGACTTTACTCAGTACCTGACACAGCTGCATTCCCTTCCCTCTTACGTCCTCTGCCTCTGGCTATGTGTGTAAAAACATCCATGATTTCAATCCCTTGTGGTCCCCTCTCTCTGATCCCTAAAGAAGGGGCTTTCCATAAACTCAACTTCCTGTCCCATTTCCATAATGGCAATTCAGTTAACATTCTCTTAATTCTCTTCTGCTTCTTAGGTCAATATCCGACACAGCCATCCTACCCAGTGCAACCTCCTGGTAATCCTTCTGTGTACCCACAGACAATACCTCTTCCTCAAGCGCCACCTTATACCGATGCACCTCCTGCTTACTCTGAGGTACGCAATATGTTCCTTTTGTGTTCTTGCTCCGCACCTGAAAAGTAAACTCGAACTGGTTACAAATGAATACTTAATACCTGCATTTGTTAGCCTGGAATGACCATTTGCACCTCCCAAGACTGGGCAGCAATCAGTCTGGCAGCTCTGTCTAGTGAGAAATCTGCTGAGTTAGGGCATGCCATTCTGACTACTAATTAGAAAAGCATGCTCTATGCACTTTGGAAGCTGTTTCAGGTTTCAAAATCCTTCTCTCTCTCTCTCTCCCCCACCTTCAGAAATCAGTAAAGCATTAGATAATAGCTTTGGCTAAATGCTCAAGCATAACATTGAGTAAAAACGAATCGACATTGCTGTCTGACAGAGGCTTCATGTATGGATACAAACAACATGTCTGTTCTGAAATGGGAAAAAATACTTGTTTTGTGATCTGGCTGAAATCCACAAATAACATTTCCTTTCCCAAATCCATTTAAAATGCCAGAAACTTTAGTCAAAGCTTCCCTTGGAGTTGCCACTAGAGCTAACCTGCGTAGGCAAAAGCCAATAAGATGGTTCTCCTGGACCGATTCTGGCAGACAATCGAGAAGCACTGTGCCTCAAAGTGGCATAATCTGAACAAACTCCTCTCTCCTTCCAGATGGAGTTGTGCTTTCAGGGAAGGGAATGGGACTACCTCTGTACTTGGGGGAGGGTGGCAGCCCTATGACATACTATCAGAGCTTTGAGAGAGAATCTGCATAAATGGTTCTGGGGCGAGGAAAATCTTGTAACTTCCTTGTGTTTCTCGTTCTAGCTCTATCGTCCAAGCTTTGTGCATCCAGGGGCTGCCACTGTACCTACTGTGTCTGCTGCATATCCTGGTACTTCTCTGTACCTACCCATGGCACAGTCTGTGGCTGTTGGCCCAATGGGCTCTTCAGTTCCAATGGCATATTATCCTGTTGGTCCCGTCTACCCTCCTGGGTCAACTGTCCTTGTTGAAGGTGGTTTTGATGCCGGAGCAAGGTTTGGGGCTGGTGCTACTGGTAGTGTTCCTGTAAGTATAAATGTATTGTGGAAACCCTGTATGTCTCACTTTCAGAGTCACATGGGAGGCTGACAGCATAGGCAATAGAGGCTATTCCTCAACCTCTAAACATTTATCAGAAGGTGCTTGTGTCCCTGTTTAGGAACAATCAGCTACTAGGAGAGAACCGGTGTGAGCGACCTGTGCTTGTAGAGCTCGTGATGTTCTGCTGCCGTCTTTTTCTGCCATCACGCCTCTACTTGGCTTTCGGGTGGATAAAAAAAGCCAAGGTGGCATTCATAGTTTTAATTCTGTCCTGTCCCGTTGCCTCACCCATTCTGTCCTTCTATGAATGGAGCAGGGACGACTCCTCTACTGGTTCAAACCAGGTGATCAGGGTGTTGCCCATCTGTTTGTGTACTATTACGGGTGATCGCAGTTAAGTAGATAGCTGTGGGTGCACTGATGGTAATTATTATTCTGTGTTACAAAAGGGAGTGCCTGGTTCACTGTAATCCAAGACATGGAGGTTGCCCTCTGATCCTCTTACGTAATCCTCTCTTTGTTTTTCAGCCACCCCCTCCTGGCTGCCCTCCCAATGCAGCTCAGCTGGCAGCCATGCAGGGTGCCAATGTGTTAGTGACGCAACGGAAGGGAAGCTACTTCATGGGGGGCTCGGATGGTGGCTACACTATCTGGTGAACACAGAGGCGATGTTTGTGTAAGGAAAGACATCACATACTGTCAGCACTTCTCACAATGTAACTGCTTTAGTCATATTAACCTGAAGTTGCAGTTTAGACACATAACGGTGGGGTGTCTTCCTGGTGCCCAACCCTTCAGGCACTTTTAAAATTTAATAAGAAACCATGTAATGGTAGCAGTGCCTCTATTAAAGAGGGGTTAATTCATGAAATGAATGTGAGCTTAGCAGCCCCACAGATCTTCCTTTAATTCCACTGGAGTAATACTGCAGCACTGTCTCTTGGCTTTTATTAATCAACTGTCTATAACTTGTGGGGGGTGGGAGGAGAAGGGTCAGAAAGAAATCTGACTTCAAAGTATCAAACTATAATTCTTGCAGCTCAATCTCAAATCTATTGCTTATCAATAGGAGTGAGATTCATGCATCCTCTTTCTCCTTCCATAGAATCAATGGTGCTGGATAGAAAGCCAGCACATTAATGTCTCTGGTGGCCAAATAGGGCTTTTTTTCCCTCGCGACTTCACAGTAGAATGGATCCCTTGAAGCACTCTCTGTGCTCACATTCACTCTTCATTTTTCTCCAGGAAGGTATGCAGCTTGGGTATGACATGGGATGTTCTTTTGATACATTCCCAGTAGCGTTGGGACTCCTTTGCACGTTGAGTCTAATCAAAGCCATGCTTTGGTGCCTGAAACACAGTGCAACTCCTGTTCGAACGTTTCATTAAATGCAAACTAGACTTTGAAAACTACAGCTTAATAACAAAATCACATTTTTAAAAGCAACTTGGTGTCTTGACAGCAAAACTTAAGGATATTACTCAGAACAGAGAGATGGGTTTCCATCTGTGCTTGAGTGTGTAGCAACTGTCAATCAACACAGGTTAGCTTGGTGAATGGCTTGTTTTATGAATGCATCCTTTTAAAAATGACTTGAGTATAATGAAGTCTTATTAGGGTTAAGAAGAATATTTCAGGGATCCTCAATCTTTTGGTTTTTGTTTTATGAAGAAAAAAATCAGATTTGGTGAATATATTTTATCTTGAGGTTTCAGTTGAATCTAAATCTCTGTATTCTATGTTGTGTTCAACCGTACAACTGACTGTTCTGGAAGTTCAGCATTATGTCTCTCTCTGTATACACTGTGGTGCACTTAACTTGTGGATTTTTTTTATACTAAAAAAAGTAGAATAAAGACTATTTTGAAAATTTGAATAAAGTGACAAAGTTGCATTAGACCTCACAAAGAACTCCTGACTGTTTCTCAGCTCAGTGGTTAGTTGTTTTTTTTGTTTGTTTTTTTTTAAAGGCTTGCATCTTCTTTCCTGCCTTCTTGCAAACTTCATCTTAAACAGGTTTTGTGAAAGGGGAACTTTTCTTAAGAGGTGAGGAGAACCCTGTAGATCTCCTGAGAGCATTTCACACTAGTCTAACCTAACACAGGGAAGGATGAAAGGAAATTTGAGTAGATTGTTCTGTTGCTGTGTGAGGATATCACAGAATGGCATGATGGGTAAGTGGACTTGCGGTACAATAGAGGGTCATGCCAAACTGAAGGATTTTTAGTCTCTTGGACACTGGCATACTGCTTCAGAAGCTAAGCAACACAGGGCATGTTGAGTCATCTAGACTAGAGGGGCTCAGTCATTTAACGCTGATGGTCTACAGCAAACATAAGGGCAATGTAGTTTCAGGCACCTTTTTTCCATCCCTAACAGGGAATTATTGCTGATAGAGGTAAAGAGCTTTGAATTTTAGTGCTTGATTCAGCCTAAGATCACGTAACTTGCCCTAAATATGGGTGTTTTTCCTTTTGGTGGTGGCACTAGTGACACCAGACTAAGGCACTGTGCAGAACAGTGATACAACAGCCTACACCACAAAGAGGCATGACTTTATTATGCTGAGTGACTTTTGGTTACATGAAATAAGCTGCTAGCCTCACCGCTTGTAAGGACGTAATAGGAATTATTGTGCTTTATTAGAGCATGGATCTGTCTGGTCTCAGACACTGGCCAGTGCCACATGCAACACCTCAAAGTGCAAGAAACCCTATAGTGGACAACACTGAATAATCAACTCCTAAGGCAAGTTTCTTTAATTGGCCTCTGTCAGCTAATGGCTGTCCTCATTTTGAGAGGCAGTGTGCTCCAAGGGTTAAGACACGGGGCTGGGATCAGGAGCCCTGGGTTCTCTTCCAGCTCTACCACTGACTTGCTGTATGACCTTAGGCAAGTCACTGCCCCTGTCTGTGCTTCCAGTTCCCCTCCTGCTTGGTGGCCCTTTAAACTAAATTCTTTGGGGCAGGGACTCACTAGGCAATTGTATTAGAGCCTAGCATGATAGAGGCCTCTAGGCTTTATTGTAACACAAATAACAAATTGATTAACTTTGGCCTTTAATCTGTGTCTCCTCCCCCCCTTCCTTAACATTCTTTGCTTGAGGAGAGAAACTCTAGATGTTCGGCAGTCCATTTTACAAACCAGACAAAGAAGTTGCTAGCTGGGATGATAGCACCTTTTACAGTGTAGTGCTTCCAACCCAATCACTTTTATTAAGCTGGAGATCCTTGCCTTCAGTTTAACCAGAATTCTACACCGTGGAATGATGGTTGAGGTTAGCACTGTGCACGTATTACACTTTTCCTTCTTGGATTAACTTCATAAATTAGGGGGAAAAAGTCTCTAGATCCTGAGTCCAGGAAATACGGGTAACTTAGCGTCAAACCTGAGTATGGTGTAGAAGCTGTTAGCCACACTGAATGGGTTATATAAAATATTCTTCCTTTTCTCCTTTCGAAGGGAGGTTCTCCATCTCTACAGACACATCTGCTTCTGGTTGCTCATAGGTATGGTAGCTACCTTTATTCTTGTACAGGTATGTGATGATGATTACCAGGACTGTCAGTAGTGTGATGAAAACCACCGTGATGACGCCTTCCGAAGAAGAAGAAAGCCAGATTAGGATATAGCCTTGCCCAGGTCAGCCTCTAGCTGCTCACTTAGAAAGCTTGCTTGATCTGTAATAATACTAGCATTGGTCTGAAGAGCAGCAGAACAAAATGGGATGCTAGCAGGTCTATATTTATTTCAAACTGGGAAAACAGTACAAGAGTGTATATTAAAAAATAACTCACTGTAGGGGGCAAGGAAGAGGTACAGAGTGGTACAGCGCTAGCCTGGGATTTAAGTCTAGATTCCGTTCCCTTCTCTGGGGCCAGATTTTTAAAAGCATTTTGGCTCCTAAAGATGCAGATTGAAAATCCCACTAGGTCCCTATCTTGTCATACAGCAGGGCCAGGGAGCAGTGGGAGAGGGGAGATATATAAACCCAAGGCTAATTAAGGTGTGGTTCCCTGTAGACTAGGGAAGGTTACTGCAGGTTAATTGGAGCACCTGTAGTCAATTAAGGCCCTGTCAGGAAACTAATAAAAACACCCTGCTTGAGGCAGACAGCATGGTGCAAGGAAGGAGAGAAGACTGGGATTTAGAGGTGTGTTGCTGAGATTTTAAAGACCAGAGAACTGGAGGAAAGGACACCCTGCCCCAACATCAAGGACCAAGGGTAACCCTACCCAAGGGCGAAGAGGGTAAGAAACCCGCATGGGCTGGGGCTCAGAGTGCAGAGCAAACCCAGACCCCTTCCCCGCTTCCCTCCTCTACCACCTTTCCGGGCCACTAGCGGGGCCCTCGGTGCCCCAAGAACAGGGGCTAGGGGTGGCGTCTAGCCTCCCTGCCAAGAAAAGCACAGATCCCAACATCAGCCATTTTGCCACAATCTTTAGGCACCTAAATACCTTTTAAAAATCTATCCCTTGGTCTGTATGCCTCAGTTCCTCATCTCTAAAATAGAGAGAATAGGAAAGTACGACCTCATCAGGTGTTGTGTGAATTAATATGTTAAGAGTGTGAGAGGCTCAGATACTATGCTGATGGGGACCATATAGTACTGTAATATCATTTACTATATTCATGCATGAATTTGGGGAAGCAGTGTGGCAGGGACTGCACAGGAAAAGATGTGGGTTTCATGTCTGGCTCTGTGCCTGACTTGTGGTCTTGGACTTGCCACTCGTCTTTTCTGTACCTCAGTTCCCTACCCATAAAATAACAGTAATATCTCCCTTGCTGTTGAGAAGCTTAAACAATTGATGTTTGAGAACTTCAGAAGCAAGATGGATTTGTCGTGGTGTCTAGAAATGGTCTAGGATGCTCCTCTTTTTCCTAATCTTTAAATAGAATAGCTTATGGAATATTAGTAAAGCAGCTGAGATGTATGCTAAGGTGATAGAAAAAGCAGTTTATCAGCAGTAATACTGGCTACTGGTTTCTTTGTTATGGGAAATTACCCCAGCGTTTCAGCCATTAGCAGGCAGATCGCTCTTAACCAGCAACACAGTATACCCTGAAGAGATGCTTCAGACAACAGCACCTGTAGTAAAGTGTCACACCTGGAAATAAGGTTATCGAAGCAGCCTATGACAAGGCTTGGAGACTGGCTAAGAGGCAAGACTAACCTTATGTGCATGGACAGAGATGGAGGTGGCATTGATTTGGTTGGGTCAGTAGCTGTATAATCCATAGATTTTTTTTTTTTTTCTCTATACCCATTTCCTCTTCTTTCTCTTAGTTCAGGGCCGGGGGAAAATCCACACTATCTCTTTTGTCTCCTCTCTGTGCTTAGAACCTGGGCTGGGTGAAATTCACTGTTGCTTTAGCTTCATGTAGGCCATCTCTGTGGGGGTCAATCTAGAATTGTTCTCAGTAAAAAGGGACTGCGAGGCTACTAAACTCCTCCGCCTGGAAAAGTTCAGCAGCTGTCAGCTGGATAAAAGTGACCTAGCTTCAGGCGCTGTTATAACCCCTCGGTATGGTGCATTCCTGGCGTGCATATTTACCGAGGTCAGTGCTGAAATTTTGTGTGTTAGCTGGGAACTGCCAAGGTCATCCAAGTTGCCATATGGCCCCTCGCAGCAATGAAAAGAACCATTAACGCCTCAGCGTGGAAGAAAGATGAGTAGGTCCTGTACAGTGAGCTACTTTGATTAGGCTCTGAGCTTTCCCCAGAAAGTGTCTTTATCCCTATGTATCACGGTACAGAGCAGAGTGATGGCCTATGTGCTGCTTGGGATCAATATGCAACGATAGTAATGTCCTACCTGCGATGACACCCACACTGGCTTCCTCTTGGAGAGACGGCGTATTTATCCTCTTCAGAAAAGGGGTGGTCAGCTCTTCTTTAGAACGCCAGGGAAGGAAAGAATGTAAGTGACACTGTTATTGAAGCATCTTCAAGGCACTTAATTACACAGGAATAGGTCTTATGCTAAGACTTGTTTAGTAGCGTTAGTTGAAAATTTTTCATTGAAACAGTTTTGGGTTTGGAAACAGGCTTAAAACAAAAAGGAAGTGTTTCTTCACACAACGCACAATCAGGCCGTGGAACTCTTTGCTAGAGGATGTTGTAAAGGCCAAGACTATAACAGGGTTCAAAAAAGAACTAGATAAGTTCATGGAGGATAAGTCCATCAATGGCTATTAGCCAGGATGGGCAGGGATGGTGTCCCTAGCCTCTGTTTGCCAGCAGCTGGGAATGGGCAGCAGGGGATGGATCACTTGATGATTCCCTGTTCTGTTCATTCCTTCTGGGGCACCTGGCATTGGCCACTGTCGGAAGACAGGATACTGGGCTAGATGGACAGGATGACTTTTCTTATGAAAATGCCCTTTTGGCAAAACCAGTTTTTTTTTTCGGTAGTGAAATTGTACTGACAATTTTGTTTAGAAAAAATAGTTTCAAAAATGTAAACACAACCCAGTGTGACACTTTTTTAGAACAAAGTTTTGATTTTTTCTTGGCAAAATGACTGGTTTGAAGCTTACTTCATGAGATTTTTTTAAAAACGGTTGAAATCCAAATTAAATTTTTTGATAGACCTGAAGTAATTTTTTTTTCCAGGTCATTTTGATTTTTTTTTTTTTTTTTTTTTAAATTTTGGATTTGTCCCAATTTGAGTCAAAATGTTTTGTTCTGAAATTTCAGTTTCTCACAGCATGGAAAATCAGTTTTCCGACCAATTCTGTCGTTTACCACAGATGAACCCTCGAATGAGAGTGAAGTCTGGAAACTTTGAAACCAACATGTGGTTTCAATGTGTAGCAGCTGCTGGAGTAATGCAGCTGCTCAGCTGTCCCCTTAATTAAATGATTAGAGCAGTGGCCTTCATTAGCAGCCTAGAGGCAATTGACACTTTTGGCAAAATCTGTGGACTTTAATGGTGCAACATGCCTATTGGAATCCGTGAGTTTTGCTCAATTCAAGACTCCAAGACCTGGTTTAACAGCATCTTTCCCATCATTCAATGGCATTATGTAATCGGCTGTCTCCTTGCACATCATCTTATAAAAAGCTGCCGTGCTACCAGCAGGAATGGTCTGGCAGTAGCTCTGTTACAAATTGTCTTACAAGTTCTCAATCTGAGACCATTTCTTCTGGCTACGTTTTGCTTCAAGAGTGGGTGGGATTATTTGTTTAGGGATGTGGGTTTGTCTTCATGTGGGACAGTTATAAAGGGGCCTTTTGGATAGGGGAAACCAGGAAAAAAATAGAAGCATGTGTTTTTCCTGCAATGTCTTCAGCATTAACAAACTTGCATTCACAAATGCTTCTACAGTTTGGCTTATTATAAACTTCTTACAATACAACATCTTAGCAGGAGAGGCAGATGAGGCCACATATAAACCTGCCTCTTCATTTTGTATCATGCAAGAGGTGCTGCTTTTCCTTGCCAGCTAGTAAACCAAGCTGTGATTTACTGACTCCTTACCAGGTCTGCGACCTGCCAAACTTTCAAGCGCTTCTTACCTGTAGGTAGCAGAGGTGGTGGAGTAGCTGCCATGGATCTAGCTGAGTTGCAGGTGTTTTTATCCTTCCACTTTAAATTTTGGGATCTTTTAGAACTACAAAAACAGCCAGAAAAGTGATGTTAGATTTATTAGTGTCTCACAAGGGAGAGTGCAACTCAGCTAATTACCCTCATGCTTAGTTATGGTAGAATCTGAACTTGTGATCAGTCACCCACCATCAAAAGCAGCACTTACTTTGAGAAGAAAACAAAACAGTCTAATTTGTGCAGACCTGATTGGAATAGTTGAGCCCAGGGTCAACGCAGGAGCAACTTAAGAAAAGCAGGGATTGGGAAAGCCTAGGTGACTATCCAGCATCTTCAAGCAGGTCCTGTTCTATTTGTTCGTTAAGCCAGGATCAGAGCAGACCAATGATGAAGTGGGGAATTGTCTCTAGACGTGCCATTTGTTCTCTGATTCAATTTAAGCACATATGACACTTTACACCTTCACAATGCTTTCCATGCACTCTAATTAGTAAGTCCTTACAACTTCTGCGTTATGCATATAATTTTCTTTGTCATAAAAGGGGACAGTGAGGCACAGATATCTTAAGGCCAGAATGTCTAAAGGTGGCCTTTGATTTTGGGGGCTTGAATTTTGAGTGCTTCCCATCAGCCACACGGGACCTGATTTTCCAGGGTCCTGGGCACAGCCACACCTTCTGCTGACTTCATTGGGAGTGGTTGGTGCTCAGCCCTCTGAAAAAAAGGCCCCAAGTGTAGCTAGATGGGCACCCTCAATTGGAGGCTATTTTGAAAACTTTGGATTCAAGTGTCAGTTTAGAATTTCTGGGCCTATGTTCATACTGCTAGACTTAGGGATTCCTGTTTTCAATTTGACCTTTGCCATCACTCTTCTGATCAGGAGCACTCTTATGGAGCTGTCTGGGTGGGTAAGATTGATAACATTGCAGGTCTCCTCACTCTCCCGGGACTCAAACCCTCTCTCACATGCATGCAGTGTGCTTAGGGTGACCAGATAGAAAATCTGAAAAACTGGGACAGGAGGTGGGGGGGTAATAGGCACCTATATAAGAAAAAGCCCCATATATTGGGACATCCGGTCACCCTAAGTGTGCTTGTGTGTTGGTGGGCAGTCAGTCAGCTGCTGTATTTTCAACAGGTCTGATCTGTTCTCATGTAAACTGTGGAAGTGGGGACCACTGCAGCATCTTTAGCGGGACGCAAACTTTTAACATTAGGTATCCCAGTATATGGTGGTGATAATGCAAATCTTTAGACCCTTGTAAAAAAACCCGGCAGAGTAAATTTTTCTGGCAACTAGCAAATCCACTAAAAAAAATGGCCAGGCTGGTCAAATACCAGCCAGCTGGTAACCCTAGTGGCTAAGTACATGTATACAAAGAGACTGAAGAGTTAGGTGAGAACTTCTAGACTCAAATTACAAGAGCACGTAATTTGACAGGGGTTTTGTGTGATCTTGCTCTATTAATAGACTTGATTGGTTTCTAAAATCTAATAACTCTGAATCTCCGTGCATAAGCAAACTCTGAACAGGAAGAATAAAGCCTTTAACATGAGAGAAAATAAAGAGTTCGAGACAACTGGCTCTACCCCAAGCAAGCGGAGATGTCTCACCTCATTCTGCTACACGGCAGTTCGTGTTGCTTAAGTCCAAATGTCTTACTTATCAAAGTAGTAATGCCCGGCATTCACATTGCCACCCCCCCTCCCCCCCACACTTAAAAACAGGATCTCAACAATTAAACATGTGGAAAAGGCTGCATGCATTACTTCCACACTCTTGTAAAGATTCTTCTCAGCTACATTGTCAGTGGACCCGCCCTCATATCCGCATCTCTGGTTTTAATGGCAGTTGCAGTTAGATCTCTGTGGATTTTATTAGGCAGGGCTCTGCCTCACACCGCTTGTTCCCAAGGCTGCCTGCCTCATAGCAAATGACTCACCCAAGTACTTGCAATAAAATTAGCAGCAGCTTCCCCACTCCAATCAAGTGACTCAGCTGCTGTGCAGAAACTGACCACTAGGTGTCAGACGAAAATAAATTTTAAAACAGCAGTTCAACAACACACAAATGGGGTCAGAGAAGTGTCCTACAGTTTCTACTTCAGTATCAGTCTCTGTATTTAAAAGCATCTTGTTAACTTAAGAGCATATGGCACAGTGTAAGGCTGTAAACCCAGATGTTCTCTACTGAAACTGAAAGATCTAAATTAGTTTCCACTATTTACACTCCAATTTAGTCTGTGGTTGACTTAGGGCCAGATGGTATCTTCTTTTTAACCAGCTCATTATCAACTTATGTTCTCTCCATATGTGTTATGTCCACCTCTTCTCTCTCATTTTTAGACCTGCATTTTAAGCTGTCCAGGTAGGTCCTGCCTTTTTGCTGCATGTTTGTACAGTGCCTCGTACAATCACTCAGGGATCTTACTGTTCTTTCTTAGATCTTACTGTAACACCTAATGGGAGGCTGCACAGCCATGCAGGGGAGTAAAGGAGAGGAAGACAACCCCCAGCGCAGGGCACAGTGAAGACCAGTAGCTTCTCTCATACCCCTGTAGATAGGTAGGCAGGCAGGGGCAGAAACTTCATTTGGAACCCCCCCCCCGCCCCTTCTTCCCTCCCAAAAATGCGTTCTAGCTGAGCCGGGAAGTAATCCACTGCTGGTCTAACCCAGTAGCAGATTACTCCTTAGAAAAAAGGGGAACCAGTGAACTGTGACTCTGAGTCACAGTTTGTCCCATGATCTGCTCTTAGAGCGCCACACTGTCTTACACAGGCCAAATTGTGAGACAACACACTTCCTTAATTTGAACACGAGAAATAGACTGGTCATAGTGTCACTGACACTATCATTTCTTGCTAAGCTTTTATAAAAACGAGGAGTCCTTATGGCACCTTAGAGACTAACACATTTATTTAGGCATAAGCTTTTGTAGGCTAAAACCCACTTCATCAGATGCATGGAGTGAAAATACACTCCATGCATCTGATGAAGTGGGTTGTAGCACAAGAAAGCTTATGCTCAAATAAATGTTTAGTCTCTAAGGTGCCACAAGAACTCCTCGTCGTTTTTGCTGATACAGAGTAACATGGCTACCACTTTGTAAGCTTTTATACTGCACTCACCACCATGTGCTAAGTGCTGCCACCTAGAGCTGCAAACGGTACAGAGCAAAGGTTTGAAATCCAACTAAAAAGCCTTTCTAGTGAATTGGATTCATGAAAACATTGCTATAGTCATACCTTTTTTAAAAAGGTTTTTGACGTCAGTACCGGAGTCTAAGTCACTCGACAACATGGCTTTAGAAGTGTTTCCCTAGTGTGATGCCAAGTTATATGAAGGTAAAATGTCATCCCTGGATGTTCAGCGCGCACCTGAGCAAGCAACGGGAAAGTGACCGACTTCCTGAAGATAATTGCCCCTGTGAAAGCCAGGAAAGGTAGCTTGTGATTTTACAAGCCTCGCAGGGTTTGTAAAGAAATTGTCAACTGTGCTTTCAGTCATGGTGTCTTAGTGGATTTTAAAGATGGTGTTTAGCATGGAGGAATGCAGTGAGTAAGGGCATTTCAGCGGCAGTCAGATGATTTTGGGGGCAACCTGATTTAGGGATTTCAGAGAGGAAGAGGAAGCACTGGTTAATATGATGAAGGTTAGCAAAGGCTGGAGCATGATGCAGTGGAGTGGTTACAACAAAGTATGGAACAGTTGGTTATAATTTTACTCCTGCATGATGGGCATTTTGCTTGGACCGTATTGAGCTGCACACTGAAATGTGAGCACAAAACTCACCTAGCTACAACAGACACAAAACTCGGCTACAGAGCAATCCAGGAGTCACTGTGATCTGCAAACACTAATGCCATAGTGAGAGGCTGGAAAGAAATTCTACCTCCAGAATGACAATCAGACAGCAGTTAAAGGTAAGTACACCGTGCCTGCAAAAACAGGGTGAATCCGTGAACGAAGCCTGTATACTTTCTCTTCCATTGAACCCATTGCCTTCAGATGCTACAAGGCAGTACTGGAGCATGATGCCTAGGTGAATCAGGGAAGTTAGGAGTGACAGTGTATAATGAAGTCAGTGTAGGGCAGGGGTGAGCAAACGTTTTGGCCCGAGGGCCACATCGGGAAATAGAAATCGTATGTCAGGACTTGAATGCTCACAAAATTGGGGTTGGGGTGCGGGAAGGGGTGCAGGTTCTGGCTGGGGGCACGGGCTCTCGGGTGGGGTGGGGATGAGAGGTTTGGGGTGCAGGAGGGTGCTACAGGCTGGGATTGAGGGGTTTGGAGAGCGGGTGGGGGGGATCAGGGGTGGGGCGTGGGGAGAGGTTCAGGGGCAGGCTTACCTCAATTGGCTCCCGGAAGCAGCAGCATGTCCCTTCTCCGGCTCCTACGTGGAGGCACAGCCAGGCGGCTCTGCACGCTGCCCCAACTGCAGGCACCGCCCCTGCAGTTCCCATTGGAGTGCGTAGGACCCGGAATGGGGCCATGCTGCGGCTTCCAGGAGCCACGTGGAGCACCCCATGAACCGGCGCCCTGGCTGGAGCGCCGGAGCGGGGCAAGCCCCAGACCCTGCTCCCAAGTGGGAGCTTGCAAGCCGGCTTAAAATGGCCCAGCCCGCGCACCGTAGTTTGCCCACCCTTGCTGTAGGAGTGGAACGAGAACCCCAGTGAGGAGAGCATGCTGCCAGCTTGCTGGCTGGGCCGTGAACCTCAGTCCAAGCACTGGAGGGAAGAGAAAAGTGCTATAGAAGGCAAGAGAGTGTGTTGCAAAGCAGAGGCCCAGCAAGGGGTTTACCTTACAAAGGTGCTGACTCAGACAGGCCTCTCTGAAGCTGCAGTCCTGCAAGGTGCGGAGCACCCTCACCCTTGACATCAGTGGGACTAGGCACTTGAGTCCTAATTTAGGGCCAGTCTCGGAAAGGACGAACACCACCACCAACTCCTTTGGGAATCCAGTTCTGATACTGGGAGGCTCTAGTCTCTAATGCTTGGTTCCTCTCCAGCCTCCTTGCTGATTGGGTGTAGTTCCCCAGCCAGTGACTCACTTCCCTAACACACTGGATATTTACTCATCTGTAAGTGGTTTTTAAAGCGACATGGCATTGCAAATAGCTGTGCATGGAACCAAGGTTTTGGTGCACTGGCCATTGTGAAAAAGAAACCAACATTTTTTGCAATCGAAAAAGTAAAAAAAAAAAAAAAGTCATCTTGGGTTTGAATGAAATGTTTCATTTGACCCAAAACACTTAGTTTTCAGGCATTTTTAAAATCAAAGCAAAGGGAAGGATGATGGTGCTAACGCCTCATAACCATTACCCCAGTGCTTAGAGCATGCACCGACCTGGGACATAGAAGACACATGTTTGAATCCGTTCTGAAGCAGGGACTTTGAACCCAGCCTCCCACTGAGTGTCTGAACCATCTGGGTATAGGGCATGTTGTGGTGGGGGTTTCAATCTCTTTCTTCTCTTGAAGCTGTTCCACTTTATATCGATAGATTTTTCCTTGGCGCAGGGGCTGGAACTAAGGCCTTCCACATCCCAGAGCGTCATTTTCTCTTGCTAGCCCCATTTGTATTGCAGAAGCAGCTGGGGCCCCAGTCTTGACCCAGGACACATTGTGCAAGGTGCTGTACAAACTCAGAACCAAAAGATGGTCCCTATCCCAAAGAGCTTACCAGCCAAGTCACACTGCCACGGTCAGGGATGCCTGCACAGTAGGGGCTGGATGGAGACCCCCGGAATTCAGTTTGTAACAGCAATGTGATGATCAGACCTAAGCTAGGTTCCAACCAGTGACCTAAAGGCTCAATCTCTCACTGCCAATGACACTAGACAGCTGGGTCTCCCCTCTAACGAGCTCATGCTCAAATAAATCGGTTAGTCTCTAAGGTGCCACAAGTCCTCCTTCCCTCTAAAGAGTTGACTCTAACAAGCCCATCATATTCTGGCTTGGTTCTAGCATCTGTTCTTTGTAGTCCACATGCTCGGTTTCATCTGTTTGTTTGGGGAGGATTTTTCACTTCCTGCGCCTTCCTAGGGAAGGCCAGTTGACAATTCAACCGCACCTTGGAGAGGCTTTTACGAGTCTGCTGAATTTAAACTCAAATGAAAACACAGCGCCTTGCTAAAAGCACTGATGCCGAGGCAACTTCTAAAGGGAAACTCTGAAAGAGGAATAGAGACAAAGGGGGAGCAGCATTTTGGCTTTTGCATCCTCCCTCTGCTGCCAACGCAGTCCAGAAGTTAAAAACCCTCTCTCTGACTCTGGGCCTGGACCGGTCATGTGCTGAGCTCCTGTAAGCACCAGCAAGGGCAGTAACCAGTCAGGATTTGACCCAATGGGCCAGATTCTCATAAGTGTTTAAACACCCAGCAACTCTCACTGAGGGGCCTAAATGGGAGCTAAGCTCTTTCAAAAAACTGTCCCTGTGGGGTTTGGAGTTAATCCACCCCAACCAAGCCTTCAGCAGGGTCTCCCTGGTTTGTCTCTCCCTTACGCCACAGACCATATTCAGCTGTAGGGCTGGATTGGGAGTTGATAGACACCCCAGATGAGCGGACATGGGTTGTAAAGTGGATCAGAACCAGTGGTGACTGTGAAAGTAAGTCTCTATCCCCAAAACAGCACTGTGCTGCCAGGGGGAAACCCCCCCCCCCGCCTTACCTGTCATCAGAGTAAAACGCTCCAGCAGCATGAGGTGTTTGCAGAGTTCCCTTCCACCATCTATTCTCACACAGCTCCTGAAATCGCTGGGAGGCTAAGGCGTTCCCTTCCGCCTCACCTTTCCAGTTTCCCCACATTGATGATAAAAGGCATAGTCAGCCAAATGCCTTGCCCTTGTTAACTCTTCGTTGGCAGGCGAGAAACAGACCAAATAAGAGAGGCCACAGTTGTGAGACCTTCTCACCAAGTGATAGATGCATATGCAAGGGTTAGGAATTATTCAGCACGGTGTCTTTATTGAAATATCTTGGGATTTAAAACGGTGGCCAAATTTCTAGTGATAAGAAGATGCCATGAGTTATTTATTGCTATTTCCTCTCTGGGGAGGGCCAGTGAAACGCCTTTCCTGGAATAACAGGATATTGAGGCCAACCCCAGGGATCAACCCTTGTCACGTCAGAGCCCGTGCTAGGCATAGGCAGCTCAAGGAGCCCCCCCATTAGCTTTTTAGTATTGGGGGAAGGGCAAAAATATTCTGGTTTAGGGCCCCCAGTGGGCTAACAACGGCACTGGTCACCATCATGTGCCTTGGGGACAATCACCAGTAACCATGCAGGTGGCAGACAGAAGTCACAGCGTTGCCAAGGAAGTGAGGGAAGCAAATCTTTTGTGGATTCAGCCCCAGTGAATGGTGCATTTACAGGACCAGCAACATGGGTGGCGGGTGAACCACTGGCTGTGGGAGGCTAGCCCCCAGCTGACCCTGCCCCCACATCCCCTGCCAGAGCCCCCCCCAAGCCCTGGAACACTAGGCACGTGCCCCCCCCCCCGGTCCCCAAACATGGGAGGGCAGCCCCAGTCCCTCCTGTCTCCCACCCCTGAGCGCCCCCCCGTAGCCCCAGCATGCTGCTTCCCTAAAGAGGAGCAGCCTGCCTGCGCTGGGGCCAAGCAGGGCTTCAGGGAGGAGTGAGGGTGGGGCCACGCCAGGTGTTTGGGGAGGCACAGCCTTCCCCAGCTGATGCTACGTGCCACCCATGACCAGCAGAGCCACAAAATAACTCCCGCCCCTCCAGATTCCAAACCCGAGTGGACAGAGCCAGCCCCCTACCTGAAAAGCATCCCCAAGGCAGCTGGGCCTTTCCAAGGGCTCACCTGGTCTGCAGGAAGGAGCTGGATGGAGGGTCTCATGGAACCTAGTTGCTAAGGGATTAAGGCCCTGATCCACCAAAGCACAGAAGCCCATGCTTAAAGCTAAGCACATGAGTAGCTGCAGACATTTCCATTGGGATTACTCAGGTGCTTAAAGTTAACCATGTGCTCTGTGGAACCTGGCCTTCACCGAGCGTAAATGCAGGGGGATTGAAGCATAGGGATAAACACCCCCAACTAGGCTGCAGTGTCTTCTACCAATGCTTCGCTATTGGTTTTGCCAAACAATTTGTGACAGCAAATTCCCTGATATTTATGGCGGGGGGGGGTGTTCAGATTTCTGTGAAAAAAGAAAAGGAGGACTTGGGGCACCTTAGAGACGAACCAATTTATTTGAGCATAAGCTTTCATGAGCTACAGCTCACTTCATAAGTGAGCTGTAGCTCACGAAAGCTTATGCTCAAATAAATTGGTTCGTCTCTAAGGTGCCCCAAGTCCTCCTTTTCTTTTTGCGAATACAGACTAACACGGCTGTTACTCTGAAACCAGATTTCTGTGCTTTTTCTAAGGGGCATGCAGCAGGCACTGTGGAATCAAACTGAAGCTTGTTCCTATACCAGCCAGTAAGGTGCAGCTCCATTAATTCCCACTTTCTCAAAACAAAATGAACGTGACAGGTTTTGTCTCCCGTCCCCACATGTCCCGTTGCAGTTTGACATTCTGAATCGGATGGATGTGGCAAAGCACTCTTTGGTTACAACGGCAATGTTACTGCTTTCGGATTAAGTTAGCTGTAGCTCACGAAAGCTTATGCTCAAATAAATTTGTTAGTCTCTAAGGTGCCACAAGTACTCCTGTTCTTTTTGCGAATACAGACTAACACGGCTGCTACTCTGAAACCTGTCATAAATAGATCCTGTTTCCCTCCCACTCCACCCCAGCCGCTTTGATGCGCTAGACTCATTTGGAGGAGATGGGTCTGATGAGATCTTGGGGGAAAGCTCTCTTCTGTAGGAGATCCCGGTTCACCTTCCAATCACTCTCTTTGAAGCCGGTCAGAAATCCTTCTTCCTGGGGAGAAAAAACAAACCTGGGTCAGGACCAGTAGGAAGAGTGGAAAGGGATTTCTAAGGCTGAGTAGCAGGAAAATGTTCCTGACAGTGAGAGCTGTTGGACTGTGAAAGTTTCCCAAAGGTTGCAGGGTGGAGACATGGCTTGGGACATTTAAAACTAGATTAGATGCAGCAGTACAGAACAATCCTGCATTGGGTCCAGAGAGATGGACTGGGTGGAACCTATCCAGTCTTTTCCATTTCATGATTCAAAGAGGAGTTCTTTGCTTTAAAGTCACCTAGGAGGTGTGGAAACCCAGTTCCCGCTAATTCTAACTGGGGTATCTGCGTCTATTAGACAGCTCTGAAAAAATCTCAGCTTTAATATTGCACCTCTCCTTAGGTTTACCCTCTTGTGACAGCATCTTCATCACAGAGACAGTACACAGATTCAAGTGTGCAGATGAAGGAACCAACTGACGAGCTGGGTGGGAAATGGTTTTCCTATCTTGTGAGTTTGAGGTTTTGATATTTTTTCCTGCCTCAAATCAGGCTGAAAAGTCAAAAGCTCAAATTTTTGCAACCTGATAGTCCAAAAATTTTTTTCCATCAAGTCCATTAAAATGTTTAATTTAGATTTCGACTTTAAAAATAAAAAAGCTTTTAGTAAAAGCTAACGAAAATTTCAAAACGAAAAGTTATTTTGAACCAGAAAACAAAACACTTAATTTAGAAAACACTGAAACAGGTCATTTTAACGATTTTAAAGTTTCCCCCACAAAATTTTCTAATTAGATTTGTCAAAACCAACCCTTTCCCGTGAAAAATTTGTTTCTGTGAACCGGCATTTTCTCATGGAAAAAACATTTCATCAGAAAATTCCCAGCTTGCTCTACCAATTTGCCTCTAAATCTCTTCACCAACAGGAAGTGACTTGTCAGCACCAAGGAAATAGTTTAGCAAGAGGAGAAAGGAGCTGGGAGATCAGTTAATGATTGACTGAAGGTCTACCTAAGGTGAAAGAGAAATGATAAACAGACACATGTGTATTGCAGGCACTATGTGCTCATGGGAAAGTTGCACTTGTATAACTGAAGGTGTGAATTTAAATCGGCGCAAACACTGCACAGTCACTTTTAGACTTGGTCTACACAGTTCTTTTACTAGGAAAATGACGTCTCTTGGAGGTGTGGTGTTTTTTTTGTTTTGTTTTGTTTTTTACCCAAAGTTCTACCAGTACGACCCCTAGTGTGGACTTATGGTTTATTCCTCTTCCTGTACGGTATACCTGCACTCACCCTAACGGGAGTCGTATTCCTTTAATTATACCAGTATAGTTAAAGCAGTACATCTTGTCTGTGTGTAGATAAACCCTTAATCCAGTTTAAGAGTGGTTTACTTCTGTTTAGCTCCATGCTAGCTCTACACTTGAAGGCTTTGCTGCTCTAGCTGTACCAATATACTAGACGGGCAAAGTGCTCCTAGAGTGGATGCAACAAAACTTTGGTTTCACCAGTGTAACTTATTCCAGTGCCCCCTCCCCGCTCCACCCCAGTGAGAGAAAAGGGCAGTTCGGCTGGTATTACTGTAGCTACACTAGGGGCTTTTGCTGGCTGTATTGGTCACAAACCACATCTCCGACTGACATTGCTATGCCAGCAAAAGTTTTTAGTGTAGATCTGGCTTTCATCAATTAGAAACAGGTTTAATTAAACCAAAATAAAAGCATCCGCACACCACCTTTTGTACCAGTTAAATTGTCTTTTTTTTTAAAACCGGATACAATTTAAAGTTAGACTGTGTGAAGCTTTCCCACGTAGACAAGCCCTTACATACTGAGAGAAGAGACTGCAACAGGATCATATCAGGTCCTACCTACATAGTATGCAGCAACAGGAAATTGCCAAGACATCCCATCCCCCATTACCAAATAGTCAGGCTCTTTGTTTTCAGTTTTTATCGACTTTTACTGAAACTTTCCCGGGTTTTACAAAAGCAATTATTCGTATTTTTTTTTTTTTTTTTTTACCAATTTTTCACCCAAATTTTGGAAGCGTCAGAAATCCCACAAACCACCTCCCCGCTCGGGAATGAGAGATGGTGGCTTGCTGTTACCTGGGCCTGAGAGTTGGTTACCACCAGAATTATCTCCCCTTCCCTGAACTGCAGATGATTTTCATCGTCTGATATGTGAGTCTGGATTGCTTGAGCCTGGAATGTGAAAGATGGGATTAGTGAGAAGTTACTTTCCTTGGAATCACTGACTCTTTCCCCACCAGCAGGATGGGATGGTACATGGTGGAATTCGGATACACAGGTTCTGTCAGAATGGTGCAATTGTCTCTTGATAGCCACATTCCATACCACGTGTCATTGCTTAATTAGCAGGTCCCTTTCAGATGACACCCCAGGGAGCAGCTCATAGACCCAGACTGGGAATACTGCTCGGAACTGCTGCTTTACATTATTTAGGGCACTGAAGCCAAAGAAGTATGCATCTGAAGGCAGAATTTGGCCCTTGGGACCTATTTTTTTAAAGTAGCGATGGAATAGGCAGGCAAGAAAAGAACGTGGATCCCCTGGGATTATCCTGCCTGCAAATCCAAAGTTTGTGTGTCCCTAAAATGTGAACGCAAAGGGCTGCTACTGGTGACATCTCAGGAGGACAACCACCTCCCCTCCAGCAATTGCTGATTGTATCAAACAGGTGATTGCTATCACATTGTTCACTCTGCTTGTGTGTGGTGTCGCTTTCCCCTATCTGTCATCTGCATTGTCTAGAATTATCAGCTCTTCCTGGCAGACACTATTTTGTGTTTGTACAGCACCTCCCACAATGGGGCCCCAGTCTCGGCTGGATCCCTAGGCACTTATTCATGCATGATTAATCATAGTAAGTATTAATATTGACAGAGGCCAGGACTACACTACAGAGTTTTGTCAGCATGGTTCTGTCATTCAGAGGTGTGAAAAAACCACACCCTTGACTGACACAGTTATGCCGGCAAAACCTCCCATGTACATGCAGCTATACAGTACCAGAAAGAGGGTCCTTTTGCTGGTATGGCTTCTGTTGTTGCAGTTTAACTATACTAACTCCTCTTGCTGGTATAAGCAGTGTCTCCACTAGGAGGCACTGCTGGTATAGCCTGTGTAGTGTCAACAAGCCCTCTGGTACCAGCGAAACGCAAAATTCTTTTGCTCAAGGTCGGCCTTTGAATCAACCCCAGCTGTGTCATTATTGGGAATTCGTATTAGAGGAGCACTTAGAGGCCCCAACTGGGATTAGGACCCCGCTGTGCAAGCTGCTGTTCACACCCATAGGAAGAAATGGTCCATGAAGAATATACGGTCTAAATAAATAAGACAAAGGATGGGAGGGGAAACAGAGACAAGAAGCAACTTGCCCAAGGTCACACATTAGGTCAATGAACAGAATTCCTGGTCTCCCAACTCCCCAGCCAGTGTCCTAGCCACTAGGCCAGCTCTGCTCAGCCTTATGGTACAGCAGGTAGTTGGCGTTTCTTAGAACATGAGAACGGCCATACTGGGTCAGACTAAAGGTCCATCTAACCCAGTATCCTGTCTTCCGACAGTGGCCAGTGCCAGGTGTCCCAGAGGGAATGAACAGAACAGGTAATCCTCAAGTGATCCATCGCCTGTCGCTCATTCCTAGCTTCTGGCAAACAGGCTAGGGACACCATCCCCGGCCATCCTGGCTAGTAGCCATTGATGGACCGATCCTCCATGAACTTACCTAGTTCTTTTTTGAACCCTTTTAGAGTCTTGACCTTCACAACATCCTCTGGCAAGGAGTTTCACAGGTTGACTGTTGTGTGAAGAAATACTTCCTTTTGTTTGTTTTAAACCTGCTGCCTATTAATTTCATTTGGTGACCCCTAGTTCTCGTGTTACGAGAAGGAGTAAATGACACCTCCTTATTTATGTTCTTCACACCAGTCATGATTTTATAGACCTCAATCATATCCCCCCTTAGTTGTCCTCTTACCTTGAAGAGGAAGCCCACAGGCAGCTCATGGCTGCTGCTGCCTGTTTCACCATTTGGAGTGAAGCCAAACATCATCTGAAATCAGAAGGACATTTGATGGGTCCGATTACTCTAGCTTCTTTGCCCATGCACAGAACTATCCCTTTGGCTGGCCCTCTTGGGCTGCTGGTGGCATCACAGACTAAACAGAAAGCAACGTTGCAAAATAGTTTTTAGAAAATACAATGTAGGACTATAGTTGGGAACCGGAACTAATCCGGCCTTTCAGCCCAGAGTCCCTGCTTCCTTCAGTGGATTCCCAGATCTTCTGATTTAGATCCAGATGCTGCTACTCTGACACGGCCAGCAGCCCTCCTGGACTACACCCAGAGTGAAGCACTAACAATTGCGTGTCAGGATAGGACAAGCTGACCCTTCAACATTTCCACTCTATTAATTCAGTCACCTCCTATCAAGGAAGAGATTCACAGGTGCAGATCACTAATAGAGAACGCTAAGCAGCTTCATGTCCATAGGAGGAGCTTTGCACACAGCACGGCTCACTTGCCCCTCATGGGGAAAGCCACAAACTTTGGTTAAACTTTGCTTTATCATCATCATATCACTCGTACTGAAATAGTGCCTAGGAGCCCCAGTCATGGGCCAGAACTCCACTGCGCAAGGTGCTGTACAATGACAGCAACTGGATGCAGTTTGTTTCCTCCCAGATAGGCTCTCCCCTTTTCATGGCTGATGACAAGGAGCACGACCATGCCAAACAAGCGTGCTTGTTTCTAAACGCGTGCTGACTGGAAACGCCTTTTGCTGTGGTTTTGGGACAAGAGGTGCACAAACCCAGCAGCAGTTGGGTGCCTAAATCCCTTAGGCTCCTGTGAAAATCCCAGCCTTACCATGCAACAAAATTTGATAGCAACCTTCGACTACCTGAAGGGGGTTTCCAAAGAGGATGGAGCTCAGTGGTGGCAGATGACAGAACAAGAAGCAATGGTCTCAAGTTGCAGTGGGGGAGGTCTAGGTTAGATATTAGGAAACACTAGGAGGGTGGTGAAGCACTGGAATGGGTTCCCTAGGGAGGTGGTGGAATCTCTTTCCTTAGAGGTTTTTAAGGCCCGGCTTGACAAAGCCCTGGCTGGGATGATTTAGTTGGGGTTGGTTCTGCTTTGAGCAGGGGGTTGGACTAGATGACCTCCTGAGGTCTCTTTCAACCCTGATATTCTATGAGCCTGGGAAATGGATGGGTGAGGGAGAGGCTAAAAATACACATTGATCTTCAGGGCACTTGTGAGCACTTTTGGGTGTGGGAAAAACCTCCCATTTGGGAGGGCTGGAGGCATATAAGGGAGCCACAGAGAACGTATCGGTGTGTGAGAAACAAGTCCCAGCGTTAGAGTGGCAAAAGCTGGGCGTGCAGAAGAGCAACTATTCGGAAAATGCAATGCACCCTCCTGCGGCAGTCGAAATAATGATGAACACTAACTGCTGTCCCTGCAGTTTCTTGGTTGAAGTTGGGTTTTTCAGACACACCTTAATGACTATCCAAACACAACTGGGTTTGGAACAAAAGGAGGAGGAAACGAGTCTTATTCAGCAAATAGTTTCCTATTCATCCCCAGTGAAAAAGCAAACCACATCATGGAGAGCATTCTCCACGGAGTGACCAATTCCTCGCTGCTGGGAACTGCTCTCCTCCCCCCCACTGCCCTGCAAGTTCCTTGGAAGTTGGAAAACTTGCAATATATTTTGCCACGAGCAAATTGCTTTTCAGCTGCAAAGGTTCGTGTAGGCAACAGACCCAGGTAAAGGCCCTGGTTGTCAGTAACATTTCTGGCAAGGACAAGTACAAATCAAGCAGGTCTCTTCTCTGGGTCCTAGCACCTGCCGCCCCGCTTCTCCAGTAGCCCCCCTTTCATGTCCTCAATGCACCCGCTTGCTTGTTATTCCCATGTTACAGCAGATACCTGCAATGACTTTGCTTCAGGCCACTGGTCAGCAGCCAAACCCTTGTCCCACATTCATTCTGTTGTCTCTTACCTGCGTTTCAGTCACCGTTGGGGAAATGTTTAGTTCTTCCATGCTCCCCTCGCTGCCCCGGTCCTCTTCGGCCTCCCGGCTTGGCTGGCAAATGGTCCGCTCAGTCTCTGTCTGTGGCTGCTTCTGGCCATTGGCCCGTTCCTCTGCTTTGGGTGGACTGGAGCCACGGGTGCTGGCTGGGTCTTGATGGACTTCATGGACTGGGGTGGGAGGGGAAGTGTCTTCATCAGGAGGGTACGTGGCATTTTCAGGGCAAACTAAAACCTCACTGAGGGGCATCCTGTTTCCTGGCTGACTTGATTCTTGCTGGGAAGCTGTGGGTTGGGTATCTCCTGATGGGTTGGTCTCCTCTCTCAAGTCAGGTGAAGGGGGTGCTTGCAGAGATGGGATTTCATTGCTCGCATGGAGTACAGAGCATTCATTTCCCCCCTGCAGGTCTCTAGCGTCGGCCTCCAGGCTTCCTGGAGTCTGGGTTTGGGCTGATGCACCATCAGAGGGCGGCAGAGACATTTTGGCTTTGCCCACAGCCTCAGCTATAGCGGCAGATAGAATCTCTGCAGCCGTAGCTGCTGCAATATCTTCAACTCCCCGGTATGACCTCTCTGTCACTCGGCTGGGTTCCTCCAGAGTCCCAGTCTGATTCTCATTCTGGATTTCACTGGCACCAGAGGACCCGGACTCCACCTCTGCTGCTGACAGGGACTCTCTCTTGTCATGCATCGGAACAGCAGGAGAGGTGGGTGTCTCATCCTGGATTTCACTGGCACCAGAGGACCCGGACTCCACCTCTGCTGCTGACAGGGACTCTCTCTTGTCATGCATCGGAACAGCAGGAGAGGTGGGTGTCTCATCCTGGATTTCACTGGCACCAGAGGACCCGGACTGCACCTCTGCTGCTGACATGGACTCTCTCTTGTCGGGGGTCAAAACAGCAGCAGGAGATGCCGGCCGCTCATCCTGGATTTCGCTGCCACCGGAGGATGCGGCCTCCCCCTCTGCTGCTGAAGAAACAGATTCTCTCGCATGACACGTTGAATTGTTAGGAGGCAGCTCAGGGGTCCCATCTGCAGAATTTCCCAGTGATGTGAAAACGACAGGAGGACGACTCACCGGGGAGGAGATGACCAGTGAGCGCCTGTTACTGCATTAAAGAAGACAGTGCTTTTACTTGCATAGGGTGTTCTCTCTGTGACACACGTCACCTATTTAAGTACTTTGCACCTACTCCACCCAACATTAATCCCCCCAATACATACAATCCCAGCAAGAGTACGACTGGCCATAGGCTCCAGACAGACAGACTGCAACAACCAAATGCGTGTTTCCTAGATACCAGACATCTTTAACTAATCCCAGTGTAGTGACGGTCAGTTTGGCCTTCACCAGGGATTGAACCAGGGATCTCCACAGCTAAAGCATGAGCCTCTATAGCCTGAGCTAAAGGACGAACTTCCCTAGTTTTGAACTGCAGCAGACTCATTCTCTCTGGGTCAGGCCCAGGGTAGGGGTGTGAGGTCTAAATCACACATTAACCAGTGGGTTATATTGGCTGAAATTTGTGAGATTGCCCTCCTGGGGAGGCTGGATTTTAAATACTCCAAGACTCACTGAGGCAATGACTATACCCAGTTAGATTTCTCTTCACTCCCAGCGATAACGGAATAAAAAACCAGTATCAAAAACCCACACGTTGACCAAAGTACAACCGGCCAGGAGTTCCACCCAAGGGTATCTTAGCCAGGGGTTCTGAGGAGGCTGCTCCAGAGACAGAGGAGGTGAGTAAAAAAAAAGTAAACTAATGATTCCAAGGTGCCAACATTTGAGACACATTTATGGGCTCTGATTTTCAGAGACGAGGCACTCAGCACAGTTTGAAAATCGGGCCCCATTGAGGAACCTCAGCCCAGACTTCTGAGGGTTGAGGCACCTCCCACAATCCATAGTCAGATTTGAAAATCTTGGTCAGAGTCAACTTTACGTTCACGTCATTATTTTCTGATTCACTGCATTTTATTTACATTCATTTAAAGAAACAGGAAACCTCAGAGAATCAGGGCTTGAAGGCATAGGAGAACATTCTCCATAGCTCCTAAGGCCTGGTCTACGCTACAAATTTAGGCCGACGGAAGCCACCTTAAGTTGAACTAATAACATGTCTCAACGCTACCAGCTCCCTTCTGCCAACCTAACACTCCTGTAATGTCGCCTTAATTACTCCACCTCTGCAAGAGGCATAGCATTTAATTTGACGTTGATGGGTCAGCAGAGAGGCAGCGTAGATGCATTAGAGACTTAGAAGCTTAAGTTCCATCAAAAAAGTCAATGGGAAATAGGAACTTGACTCACTGAGGTACTTTTGAAATGTTCCGTGATCTAACATGGCACCCAGCGCTCCCCCTGTTTGAGATTTAGCATCCCTCTAGACCTTATCTACCATGAGAACTGGAAAGCCATTTACCTCGGCACCCCTTTAATGATAAAGACTTTGCTGGAGTGCTGCTTTTCCAGTTTGCTCATCACCTCATACAAGTCGTGGTTCAGCTGAAAACAATGGGAGAGAAGCAAACATCAGAACCTACAATGAGATGATACTTCACAGCTTTCTCTTCTTTTATCAGGGAGAATTAGTTCACATGGTTTCTCTTCACAGCCCTGTGAGCATGGACTTCTGCTCACCCACTGTCTGAACCACTGTAACATGGACTATCTAGACCAGCGTTTCTCAACTTTTTGATACCAGGGACTGGCTTACTGCCTTCCTAAACTGTCTCAGGGAAATCTCAAAGACTGGCAAGGAGACTGCCGCTGACCGGTAGTTGAGAAACACTGATCTACATGACTCAAGACAGGAAGTCGCTTCTGGAGGAGCCCCATGGGTGGGTATCAAAGGCTGGGGGAGGCTGAGCCTCCCTAAACATCCCTGCATGGCCCTGTCCATGATCTGCCCCCAGACCCCCTCCTTCCCAGTACTGCACTCCTAGGTGGGGGGGGCTGTGTCACCTGCCCACCACCACACCCGGCGCTCCAGGACTGGGGGCGCTTGGGGGCTCTCTGGGCTGGGGCGGGAGGGGCGTGACCTCAGGCAGGAGGGGCAGGGCGGGCTGGGGGCTAGCCTCCCCGAGCCCAGGGTTCACTCGCCGCCCATGAGAAGCCCTCTGTGTTTCTCCCTTCCCTTCATTTGGGGCTGCATTTCCTGCCCCCCACATTCTCCAAATCTTCCCTTTAACCAGGTCATAACAAGAACCAATGATTGGACGTTAAAGCCAGACAATTTAAAATTGGAAATCAGGCAGAAATTTTTAACGGTGAGGGTGATCGTACCATTGGAAGAAACTACTCAAGGAAGTGGTATCTCAAGGTCTTCAGATCAAGACTGGATGCCTTTCTGAGATGCTTTAGTCAAACAAGTTATTGGGCTCAGTACAGGGGTAACTGGGTGAAACTCACTGGCTTGTGCAATGCAGGAGTCAGGCCTGTGGTTCTCAGCCAGGGGTACGTGTACCCCTGGGGAGATGCAGCGGTCTTCCAGGGGATACTCAACTCATCTAGATTGGTGTTTCTCACCCTGGGGGTTGCATCTCGGATGGGGTCATGGGACAGGTTTGGGGGGTGGGGGTGGGGAGCGCGTTACAAGTACTGGTCTGGTGTTAAGGGTTGGCAAGCAAGGCAGTTGCTCCTGGTCCCCAGGGCAGAGGGAGCCATGCGAAACTAAGTTACATGTTTCAGCCTCGGGTGGTGGGCTTGGGCTTCAGACAAGGCTCACAAGTGAAAAACAGGCTCAAGTACCACGCTGAAATGTACGTACACTATTTATATCCCAGTCAATTTGTTTTATCATTATATGGTGAAAATGAGAACATCAGCCGTTTTCCAGTACGAGTGCTCTGTGACACTTCTGTATTTTTATGTCCGATTTTGTAAGAAGTAGTTTTTAAGTGAGGTGAAACTTGGGGGTACGCAAGACAAATCAGACTCCTGAAAGGGGGACAGGAGTCTGGAAAGGTTGGAAACACTGACGATCTAAGAGTCCCTTTAAAAATCTATGACTATCTATAAAAACTCAGCTCACAAGGCTCTTCTGGCAGCACTGGGATATGCTAGGGACTAGTCTGGTTAACACAGGTCGTCCGACCAACAAGAAAGCAACATCAGATGGATTCCCTTAAAATTACATTTCAAGGGAACACAAATTCCTTGGATAATCTGACAAGGCGGGTGAGGGAATCTCTTGTATTGGACCGACTTCTGTTTGTGAGAGAGACAGGCTTTTGAGCTTACACAGAGCTCTTCTTCAGGTCTGGGAAAGGTACTCAGAGTGTCTCAGCTAAATACAAGGTAGAATATTTCATATTTCAAGTAACCATGCAAGTTGAAGTGGTCTGTTAAGACCTTTCCAGTCATGGCGGGAGGAGGGGAAACAAAGGACCGGTGGTGGGTGGATTATTTTTTTTAACCTTCCTAACTGTCCTCTAGGTGGCAGCAGTGGGCAATTATTGCTAATGCTCAAAGGAACAGTTTTTAAAGCAATTGAGACCCCATTACTAGGAAAACACATCTTCTGTGCGTCATTTAACAGGCTTATATTTTAAGGGCCAGTCTCTCACCTTACTCATCTCCTTGTAGAAGATGTCTCTTAAATTGGAAATATTCTGGAAGATGGTCACGTAGCAAGCAATGCGGCTGTTCAGAAATAAACCAAAAATAAATAAATAGCAAATTGAGTCATGCCATGCAATGAAAGGAAGAGAAGGCGAAGAAATGAAGAGAATAGGCTGGAATAACGATTGGGTAATCGAGGATCGGAACAACTTACCTTAGGCTGTGATGGAGTCTCCATAACTTGAAGTCTAGAGATCAAGACTGTCTCTTTTTAAAAAGAGATGCTTTAAGACCCTAACTTCTGTCTGAGTGAATGCAGAAGTTACTGGGTGAGGTTCCTTGGCCTGGGGTATGCAGGAGGTCAGACCTGATGTCAGAATGATCCCTTCTGGCTTTTAAATCTATGGCTAGGAATGCTAATCACTCTGCACAGCTGTCGATCCTTTTTGTGCGAGATTTCACATCACTTTACATCCAGAGCACTATGAAGCTTCAGCTTTACTGTAGCCATTTTATAGATTGGGGTACAGAGAGATGACATGTCTTGTGGGTGTATGGCAGAGCTAAGAATAGAGAACAGGAATCCTGATTCCCTGTCCATTAAATTAACCCCTCGAGTATACCGGCTTTCCCAGCTGACTTGGTTCTACATGAGCTGGGTATGTCCTCCATGTGACTTAATGAATTGAGCTGGAGAACTGGCAGATTGTCTGAGCAGAGCACTGATGCAAAAGCTACAGTGGAACTGGTTGGTAGGCAGAAGTAAAATGGCACATCTGACTGGTCCACTGTGAGAGAGAAGCTGGGTGAGGTAATATCTGGGTAATATCTTTTATCTGCCCCACCTTGTCTCTTGAATGTGCTGCGACTGGCACGGCTTCACCAACACTGCATGTAACAGTGCTCAGTTCCCCATCTGTAAAATGGGAATTACAATATTTCCCTGACAGGGATGGTGTGCGGATATGTTATTGAAGTACTCACATAGTATGGGGATGGCCCCCAATCTAAGAATATAGATCACAGATATCATCCTTCCCCTTTTGCTGGTAGGGAAACCGAGGCACAGAGCAGTTAAGTGATTTGCCCAAGGGCATACAGGAAGTCTATAGCAGAGCCAGGAATAGAACCTGGCTGGAAAATTTTGTCAATTAAAAAAAAAAAATTTGGTCAAAAAAATGAAATTTTGTTGCAGCCAAAACATTTTTGTGAAAACACCATGATTTCGACTGGCCTTCGACGGAATGCTCAGGTTCAGAATGGACTTTCTGACGCAGGGGAGAAGAGAGACAGAACCTTACTTTTTTTGGATCCCAAATGGACATTTCAACCCAATTCCGTTGTCACAAACATGTTTGAAAGGTTTTCTTTTTGTTCCACTGTGGGGCAAACCCCAAAATTTCAGAACCTTGAAAGTTGTTACGAAGTGGAATGGTCATTCTCCAGAATACTGGGATTTCTATTCTATATAGGTTCTGATACAGTGCTCATCATTGTAACATCTGAGCACAATATAAGAACTTATACGGAATAGAGTGTCTGAGACCTAGTGCAGTGTCTTAACTATAAGACCATGATAGAAACTAGCATTAACAACTGCTCTTGCCCTGGGTTCTATTCCAATACAAACTGCTTGCAAATTAAAATGAGTAAAATGTGTTGGTAAATTAATATAATTTCTAAAAGTCATTGGTATGGTAGGGAGTTGGGTATCAAAAAGGCACTGCAGGATGACAGGGGGCTCGCACAAGAGCTCTTGCTAACTGATAGATCATATGGTTTCGCTCCAGTTTGCCTAACCTTTTATTGTCCCCCTTTCAAACAAAGAAACATACAAATAGAAAAGGAGTACTTGTGGCACCTTAGAGACTAACCAATTTATTTGAAAATACAGAAGATCGGTATTTTCCACAGTATGCATCCGATGAAGTGAGCTATAGCTTGCAAAAGCTCATGCTCAAATAAATTGGTTAGTCTCTAAGGTGCCACAAGTCTCCTTTTCTTTTTGCAAATACAGACTAACACGGCTGCTACTCTGAAACATACAAATGTAATTCATAGTATTATTACACAGTACATTGGCCACATTCTTGTTTGTTTCAGAGTAACAGCCGTGTTAGTCTGTATTCGCAAAAAGAAAAGGAGGACTTGTGGCACCTTAGAGACTAACCAATTTATTTGAGCATGAGCTTTCGTGAGCTACAGCTCACTTCATCAGATGCATACTGTGGAAACTGCAGAAGACATTATATACACAGAGACCATGAAACAATACCTCCTCCCATCCCACTCTCCTGCTGGTAATAGTTTATCTAAAGTGATCACTCTCCTTACAATGTGTATGATAATCAAGTTGGGCCATTTCCAGCACAAATCCAGGTTTTCTCACCCTCCGCCCCCCCCAACACAAACTCACTCTCCTGCTGGTAATAGCCCATCCAAAGTGACCACTCTCTTTACAAGGTGTGCTGGAAATGGCCCAACTTGATTATCATACAAATCCAGGTTTTCTCACCCCCCCCTCAAAAAAAAACCACACACACACAAACTCACTCTCCTGCTGGTAATAGCTTATCCAAAGGAGAGTGAGTTATTTGGGTGGGCTATATCAGCAGGTGAGTGAGTTTGTGTTGGGGGGGACGGAGGGTGAGAAAACCTGGATTTGTGCTGGAAATGGCCCAACTTGATTATCATACACATTGTAAGGAGAGTGATCACTTTAGATAAACTATTACCAGCAGGAGAGTGGGGTGGGAGGAGGTATTGTTTCATGGTCTCTGTGTATATAATGTCTTCTGCAGTTTCCACAGTATGCATCCGATGAAGTGAGCTGTAGCTCACGAAAGCTTATGCTCAAATAAATTGGTTAGTATCTAAGGTGCCACAAGTCCTCCTCCTCTTATTCTTGTTTGTGAACCTCTACTGCCATCTTTTGGTCATTAATCATCGGAATTTTTCAGGCCCAGCTCTCAAAGCACTTTCATGGGAGGGCGCTCTGTGTCTTATTATTCCCACTACAGCGGGATAAAGGAAGGTGAGGTTAAGGGCACGTTTTCCAAATTTGGCTGTGAATTTTGGTTTCCTGTTTTGGAACACTTAATTTTAGGAGTCTTAATGCAGAGTTCAGTGTCTAGCCTCAGAGTGCAACATTTTGGCCAGTATCTTTCCTTCGGACACAATTATTTGTTAAAGCAAGAGGAGATATTTGCTTGTGTGTTACAACTTTGTTGAATTGGATTGTATATCACACTGTTCCATGGCTTGACAAGACGTTAACTAGCGTTGGCTGTGGAATTGCTTCATCTAGTCTCCCCCATCCACCCTGACCCCAAAACAGGCAGCAGCCAGAACTGTGATTAACACCCTCCACCCAGTTCAGCTATCTGTGGGGTGGGAAGAGAGGATGTGGTTTTAACAGGGAAGATTTGAGAAGCTGAGGGTTAGAAGCTAGGAGGATAACAAGGACCCATACTGATTAGAACTCCAGGTTTTTAACTCACATCAGATTAATTTTTTTTTTTTGTAGACAAGTTACTCTGCCTTTCTTAATTCCCAGCAGGAACCTCGGAATTGAAGGAGTTTAGCATATAGGTCAAAGATTTACTCATACTTTCCTCCAATCTAGATATTAACACTAAACCCTATTGCCTATCAGGCAAATATACCAGTGGCATAAAGGAGCTCATTCCCCAGCTAGGTTTCTCTGCCATTCTGCACCCTTGCTATGACCTGTCTCTGCCATAGCACAGGGCAGCGGCAGGCTGCATTTTGCTTGTGAATTAAGAATGAGATGCTCTGTTGTGCCATGGAAATGAACATTTTGGCTCCCCAGAGTCCTCCTGACTACATGCAAGTTCTCCTAGATTTAACTTGCCCTTTTTATGCTGCTCTTTAAAACGGAGTGATTTTCCGGCTGGTTTAGCCGGTGGGGATGTGACGTTACCTGTTATAAAGAACCGGGAGCTCCTCTCGAAGTTCTTTGTTAAGATCCTCAAACACAGCCTGCGCTTTGTAGAATTCCTCTTCAGCCTGCGTGACGGAAGGGGACAGCTGTCTTCAGACACAGCAATGTGAAGGAGGCATTAACAAAACAGACGAGCTGAGCTGTTGAGGTGAGATCCGAACTTGGAGCTGCAAGAATCTTTGCACACAGGCGCTCCAGATATGCTAGGTAATTGGAAGTCACTTGGACAGCTAGAGCCAATCCCCAGTCTCAGAGACTGGCAACAGCCCCGCTTTAAGGCCCCGTGAGGTGCTTATCGGGGACTTAACCCAGTATTCGGCATTGAAGGCGCAAAAACCATGGGCCCTCCTAGGTTCTGTTGGCACAGTTAGCCTTTACCTTTGCAATCTTAGCTTCATCTTTCTTCTTGGCATTCTGCAGCGCCTCCAGGTGATGCCTGGCGCTGTCGTAATCCACCACCTTCCGCCCCCGCTTAGCAATTCGCTCCTGGTCAGAAACCAAACGCATGGAAGGTGAGTTAGTTCAGGAGGAGAGGGCCCTTAGCAGGGTGTTCTGTACCTTCGAATCAACCCACAGCCCTGCTCAAGGGTGTTGTATCCTATAGCTGCACACGTCACCCAGTCATACTGTACCTTGAACCCCTGGGACACCCCATGTGCAATGTAGTTTGTGTCTAGCACACGGTGCATTGCCCTTACCAGAGTGTTGTGTACTCAGTAATCTGAGCGGTATCTGTTTGCATCGCTGCCCAGGGCCTATCCCGTGCCGCTTACCGTAAACGCAAAGCCCCCTACTTTATTTTGTAGTGGGGTTGGGGTGCGGCTTTCTGAAAATACAGCCTATGTTTCCACTTGCCGGTACCTTGATTTCACCAAACTGAGCCATGTAGTTCTCCATGGTTCTCACCGCCTGGTCAGCTAGTTTTTCCTCGTAGTCTTCCCACAGGAGGTCATTGCTCTGGAAACACACACACGGGGGACATTTGAAGGGCTGCTGTGTCCCTAGACTCACACCTCCGCGCTTCATTCCCTAGACTGGTCCGGGTCAGGATGGTTCAGCAGTTGGGGAGGGGCGCTAGGCTGGGATTTGTGAGACCCAGGTTCAGTCCCCTTGTTTGCCACAGGCTGTGTGACCTTGAGCAAGTCACTTAGCATCTCTGTGCTTCAGTTTTACATGTGAGCTGAGTGGCGGTTGCCTACCTCCCAGAGGCGTTGTGAGGATAAATACCTTAAAGATGGCTCGGGTACTGGAGTGACGAGTGCTCGTAAGTACGACTAGCTACAATTAATGCCTCAGGCTCTTCTTTCGAGTCAGTGGATCACTGAAGACTTCATTATAAAACAAACTATTATCCTTCCAAATGATGCACAGGTGCTTGGTTTGTGTGCGCATTTGTGTTTTCAATTCGTCAGTAAACCCGTTAGAGCACAGAAACTTGGCGAGATGTTCCAGGCGGATTTGGAGACTCCAGCCACAGAGCTTCTATTCACGTTAAGCCTCGGAGTTGGCTTTGAAAAGGACAGCCCCTGGTCTCACGCAGCGTTGGGGCAGCCGTGTTGCTCCCAGGATATGACACACACACACACATATGATGTGCGAGGGGATCTCTTTTATTGGACCCGCTTCTGTTGGTGAGAGAGGGGAGCTTCCGAGCTGACACAGAGCTGAAGAAAAAGAGGCTTTTTTCCCCTTCAGCCCTGCGTCAGCCCAGAAGCTCCCCTCTCTCACCAACAGAAGAGGGCCCAATAAAAGAGATCCCCCTCACCCACCTTGTCTCTCTAACCACTTATCTGTAACATCCATCAGCTCCTACCACAACAAGGCTCACTCTGAGTGTGGCTTTGATAGGCTATTGCAATATAAATATAATAATTTACGTCACTGCATAAGCCATCATCACCCACGCCTCCATCCACATGCAGCTACCTTAGGGAAAGTCCAGAACAAAGTGAAAGTTGCCTATTATTCCTTTTCTATAAATCTTAGGTACTTATATGCCCTCCCCCCCACCATTATCAGTTGAGCATCTCAAGCTCTTTGATGTACTTTTTCCCCTCACAACCCACCTGGGAGGCAGAGCAGAGCTATTATCCCTTGTGATGCATGGCTTCAAAGGGTTAAACATCCTGCAAAATAAGTAACCCACAGAAGACATGTGGGGAGATCATTGTTGTGTATTTACATATGTCTGCATAGAGTGGACAATGTAATCAACAGTCCCTGTCTGTGCTGTATTCTGATAATTCAGAGGTCAAAAGAACATCCCATCATGTAATATGGGATATCTCAGTATTCATCTCTCTTTGAAACGTACTGTGAATGGTGGAGGAACAATCAAATGGCCTTATGTTAATTTGTAAAGTTAAGTACCAGTGATGGATCTCCTTCAAAGTCATCCTAATGACCTTTTGTTCCCTGAGGAATTCCAACTCGTCAAAAGACAGGACATTGTATAAAAGAGCCTTGGGCCCTGATTCTGTCATCTCTGATCTGCTTAGGTGTAGTCAGGGGAAGTTTGAGTCCCAAGACTGAGGTCCCAGTTATGCTGGTGCGCCCTGAAAATGAAATTTGGACATTGGACTATAAACTATGAACTATTTCTGAAAGAACTCTTTGCAACCACAAAGTGCAGCATCGCTGCTATGAATCTGCACCTCAATGAATTGAACTCTATATGTATATTGATCTTTTAACCATCCTCTCTCTCTCTTGTTTTTGTAATACATTTTAGTTTACTTAATAAGAATTAGCTGTAGCATGTATTTGGGTAAGATCTGAAACATTCGTTAACCTAGGAGGTAATGTGTCCGATCCTTTGGGATTGGTAGAATCTTTTCTTTTATATGATGAAATAAGATTTACAGAAATTTTCATCATATTTGACTTGGGTACCTGGATGGAGGCCTGTATGGTAATAAAGGTAGTAAGGTAAGGTAAGAAAGTAAGGTAATAAAGAAGCTGTTTTATGCTGGCTTGGTAAATCAAGTATTGGAATATCCACCAGCTTTTTAAGGTTTGGCTTCCCCATTGTTTGCAGTTCACCCTGATTGAGTGACGACAGTTGGCTCCCCACTAGGACCCCGGTCACAGTGGCATAGTCGTGCTTGGATACACATTACCACAGGTTAAGGGTTTTTTGGATCAGAACCACACACTTGGCAAAATTTTATTTTGATATTGGAGAGTTTAAGGGTTAAAAATCAGTTACAGTGAGTGACCCAAGATCAAGATCCTGACAGAAAAAGCCTGGAAGAATTGTGCTCACAGAGGGGGTTGTCTTAAGAAAAAGGCCCCAGAGTAGGAACTGAAAAATCTGATAACTGTAGGGTGATCAGATAGCAAGTGTGAAAAATCAGGACCGGGGTGGGGGGTAATAGGTGCCTATATAAGAAAAAGCCCCCAAAATCGGGACTGCCCCTATAAAATCAGGACATCTGGTCACCCTAGTTAATTGTCAGTGATAAGGAAGCAGACCCAGCGAAAATGCTTGCAGCGAGAAACCAGCAGCTAGAACTTGAACAAAAATAAAAAACAGCTGATATGGAAGAAGAAGCTGCTGAAAGAGAACACCTGTGTTTTGAACATGAACAAAGAATGGCATATATTCGATTGCAGGAACTAGAAGCTAAGGCAGAAGTGGACAGACTTAAGCTCCAGCTCAAGAGAATAAAGGAACGACAGAAACTGTGTCATCCTGAAAAGCCTGCTCCTCTCAACAAGAAAGATGGGGATAGACAGGTAACAGACACAGAAGAGGTTAAGTGACTTGCTCAAGGTCACCCAGGAAGTCTGTGGCAGATTAAGGACTTGAACCTGGTTTTCCCAAAATACAGGCTAGTGCCCTAACTGGACGAGCTGTCTTCTTACTCCACCCTTCAGTTGAATGAAGATTTTCTAGTTAGTGTTTCTTGCCCAAGGGAGATTTCATCCCATCTCTTACCTCTGCAATGGCTTTCAAGTCCCCGTGTCCATCCCATTCCACATGGTAAATTTCGTGCAGGGTTTCCGCCACTTTCCTGGAACTTTCGTGCATCACTGGAAGAGACAACCCAACATGTGGCAAACCTGCTACCACCCCAGAGTCATTAGCACCCCTTAAGCCAACTTCCCGGCTGCATCATTAAGGTTTAGAGCTACCATTGGAGTCTCCCTGTGAAACCTACACACATCCCGTAGGCATAAAAGACCGGGACATTAACAGAAGTCAGGCACCCAAGAGAATAAAACCCAAGGTGAACGTGGTGAGCCAGCAAGTCTGGGATAAGGGGAAAGCTGTCTGACTGGATCCAGGAGTGACTTCTCCAGTCTCGGACAGAGACACTGGATGGTGGGAGGCCACTGGGTAGCAGGGAGCTTCAAGAATCAATGCCAATGGTTTAAAATTCTTCTTCAAAAGCCGTTTCTAAACGCTGAGCTTTTCTAAGCCTCCCAGGGAACCGAGATGCACAGTTCCACACTGAAATGAATGGGATGTGTGGCTAAATCCCCTAGGGAGGCTTTGAAAATTTCAGCTCCAAGACCGGTTTCAGAGTAACAGCCGTGTTAGTCTGTATTTGCAAAAAGAAAAGGAGGACTTGTGGCACCTTAGAGACGAACCAATTTATTTGAGCATCAGCTTTCGTGAGCTACAGCTCACTAGTGCTAAAATAAATTGGTTCGTCTCTAAGGTGCCACAAGTCCTCCTTTTCTTTTAGCCCCAAGACCGTAGCCTTCCAACACTGGGAGGTCTGGCAAATACAGGTAGGAAGGGTGGTCTGGTAGTGGAATTGGGACTCAGGAGACTTAGGTTCTACACCCAGCTCAGGCAAGACACTTAGTCTCTCTGTGCCTCAGTTTCCCATTTGTAAAATGCAGAGGATAGCACTGCTCTACCTCATAGGGGAACTCGGAAGATAAAGCCTATTAAGGGCAGTGAAACACCCAGAAACTACATTGATGGGGGCCATATAAAAACTTAGATAGATACCCATTTTACAGAGAGGGTCAGTGAAGAGAAACAACTGTCCAAAGCCACAGAGGGAGCTAGTATAAAAGGTTGGATTAGAACAGGGTGGTGGCCTGGCTCCCAGACCTGGTTTGGAGAGCTTAAAAAAAACTGTCACAGTTATCTGACTAACACAAATGAGGCACCGAAGTGTTGCCAACTCTTGCAATTTTATCTCAAGTCCTGAGTTATTTGATATTTTCCCTAAAGCCCCAGCTCCTGGAGTCATGTGGTTAGGTGTAAATCTCAAAAATAAAATAAAATAAAATAAGCATGTTCTGAGACCTCATGTTTGCAGAGAAAGGCTTGACAATGTGATCCAAGCATGGCTCTAGAGATTCAGAAGCTAAATAAAACCTCTATTTTTTTTTTTTTAATTCTCACGATTTTTCGGCCAGTCTGATGATTTTTCAAGGCTCGAGGTTGGCCACATAGCGCGTCAGTCGTGATGTGGCAGGGAACCAAGCAGCAAAAGGTAAGTTTGAAGAAGGAACTGGGGTCTCATACCTTTCACAGCGCTGAGGAAAGCCTTAAGGTCCTTGTAGAGTTTCTGGCCTTCAGTCTGTAAAGCAAAGAAGAGCAACAGCCAGGGTTTGCGTCAGCAGCTGGCGTTCTACTCTGCACTTCTATTACAAAACAGCCAGAGGCAGAAATGCGCCACATCAGCCACAGTGGGGAAGGTGAATGGAGCAAAGGGTGCGAGTAGGCTCAAAGAAATCCAGCGAAGAATCAAGGGTAGAGACGGCTGGACATTTGTCAAAATGGTTTCCTCAGACAAAAAATATGCCATTATCGTAGAGATCAGAACATGTCAATTTCAACCAAATTTCATTGAAGAAAACCCCCAAAACAAAGCGTTTGGATGCTGTCGTCACATGCGGCTTTGTCCTGTTCCAACATTTCCAATGAAAAGTTTTTAAAAGGTGGCAACCGGAATGAAATGTTTCAATATCAGCAACGCAAACCCTTTTGATGCACCTGACATGATTTTATTTTAAATTTTGTTTCATGAGGAAATTTTGAAATTTTTTTGTTTTCATTCCATTTCAGAACAGAAAAAATTCAAAATGGCGGGATTTCCCACAAAACGGAAAATCCAGTTTGCAGCCAGTTCTAATCATGGAATTGTCCTGGAAGGGACCTTGAGAGGTCATCTAGTTCAGTCCCCTGCACTCATGGCAGGACTAAGTATTATCTAGACCATCCCTGACAGGTGTGTGTGAAACCTGCTCTTAAAAATCTTCAATGATGGAGATTCCACACTAGACAATTATTCCAGTGCTTAACCACCCTGACAGGAAGTTTTTCCTAAAGTCCAACCTAAACTGCCCTTGCTGTAATTTAAGCCCATTGCTTCTTGTCCTATCCTCAGACGTTAAGGAGAACGATTTCTCTCCCTCCTCTTTGTAATCAAGGGGCATCAGATGGTGGTGGTGGGAGAAACCAAGAAGATGGGATAAGGTAAACCTTGCAGATGAGTTAGAGCTGGACAGGGCAGGGCAGGGCATATTGTATCCAGACAGGTATGTGTACAAGCATGAGCAGCTCCAAAGAAGGTGTGGGTTCATGGGGCATATTTCCTGTTCCTAACCTTTCATGACAATGGAGCAGGTTTCTAGCTAATCAGAAACCTGCATTTCTTTTTGTTGGAGCCTTTCTACCCATTTAACCTTCATGCTCCAGTTCCTGGGCTGGCTGCATCTGCCCTGCTGGAGTTCAAGCAGTGGCTGGTTACACCAGAGAGTGACTTTGAAAGAAAACCAGCCTCTCTCTCGCCCCATTTCCACTCTCCAATATCTCATCAGACACCCTCTCCTGCTAGTTCCTGATCTACTTCCCTTCCGCTATATGGGGGATCCCCCACCACCGCTCCTTGCTCCACATTTCAGGAGAATCCCCCTCCTCCAGATGTTCAGTGACCCTCCCCCACACTTTTCAGATGACCTTCCCATGTCCCTGCCCCTCCCATATTTTAGAAGACCCTTCCCCCACCCTCTGCCCCTATGTCTTTTGGGATCTTGTCTTCTCTCCCCTCTGCCCCCTTCAGTCAGACCCAACCTGTTGCTGCTGGAAATCGTAAGCGCTTTGCTCGAATTGCTCATCTTTGGTTTCTACCGTCTTGCCCAGTTTCTGCAACACCTGGGGGTAGAAAAAGACACCAAGTTTAAAAAAAAAATCTCCTGGAGAAAAACTCTTAATAAACTACGAGAGGTGCTGTGAAGTTCCCATTTTAATCTCTCGCGATGAGCAGCACCTTGTACAACGGGGGATGGAGAATCTAGCCACTACTGTAATTAACAACAATTACTAATCATTTGAAAGCTATTTCCTTGTAATCTCTCATTCTATGTACAGCACCTAGCACAAAGGGGCCCTGATCTCAGCTGAGGCATCTAAGTGCTATTAAGTGTATGAATGTTCATAATTTAAAAATTAGTCCCCTTTCAACTGGAACACGCGACTATTAGTAATTTTCAATTCTGCAAGTAGGTTTATAGATTAAGGCCAGAAAGGACCATTGGGATGATCTAGTCTTATCTTTTGTACAACACAAGGCAGAGAATTTTACCCAGCATTTCCTGAATAGATCCTGCTACCTATTTTGAATCTTCATCTTGTGTAATTATTTTCCAAATGAATTTCACCGAGGATGCAGATTTAAAAGGTCAACATTAGTTCATCTTTGAAGAAAAACAGGCTTCTGTTTGGCAAAAGCTTAAACTCGCTGAGGTCTGAGCCACTCAGGGAAGACAACATGCCGTGGAATTTCAAAATCCCCTTTCCTCCGTTTGCATCGACGACACGCCAAAACAAATGGAACCCGTGCCCAGTGCGGTGCTGTGCGCCCCCGGGCCACTCATAGAGACTGACGAGGTTTGCTGCAGCCTTGGCTAGCTCAGGTAGTAGAAACTCATACTCTTAGAGCCGGAGGTTCCAAGTCTGATCCCTGCTACTGACAACCCACCCAGGTGCATGATGTAGTGGGGGCCTGTAGGGAGATTTGAGCTGGCTTGGGGCTCAGAAGGGACTTCCTCAGCCAAAAGAAGTGTGTAACACGTGTCCATTCCAGCGTGGCACACTGCGCCCAGTGACGATCAATTCAGGGGTTCAGCCGAACGTGTACTGCACTTGGCTAAGCCTTCACATTCAGAAATAGGAACTTAAGCACGTGCGTAAGTGCTTAGGTAAACAGAGATGTTTTCGTGACTTGAGGCCAAGCCAGAGCAAAATATCCAGCACTGGCCGCCATTTCTGTAACTCAGTTTTCTCTTTAAATCATTTTGAGCCCGGTGTTGTCTGATGGTTCAGAAGACTATATGGTTGGTAACATTATGAAGAATTGAAATAACTAGTCACTCTGTACTTGCTAAAGGGGAAGCAGCCCATCTGGAGTCCAGGTCAGCTAACTTCTCCTCACGCCAACATGTGCCAGTCAGTGACATGCCCAACCTCTGAGAGAACATCTGCACCTCAGAGCTTCTCTCCTCTGGAGTTTCCCATCATCACTCACAAAATCATCCTCCTCCTGAAAAGAATCCTCCCCCCCCCCCCCAAATCAAATAGCTTCAATTGGACGAAGAGCGAAGATCTGGGAGATTAAACCCAAATGGTGAGGAGCTTGAAATACAGAACACAGGAGGAGGCTGGCCTGCAGAAGTTGGTTTCTTTAAGCATCAGAGATGTGTGTGTTTCGTAGATTGCAAGGCCAGAAGGGACCATTGTGATAATCTAGTCTGACCTCCTGGATAAAGTACAACTTATGCTAGAACGGCCCCAAAATAATTCCTTTGGAAGTAGAGCATCTCTTTTACAAAAAACTTCCAGTCTTGATTGAGAAATTGCCAGTGATGGATAATCCACCACGACCCTTGGTCAATCTTTCTAATGGTTAATTACCTTCACTGTTAAAAATGTATGCCTTATTTCTGGCCTGACTTTGTTTAGCTTCACCATCACCCATTGGATCGTGTTGTACCTTTCTCTGCCAGACTGAAGGGCCCATTATCAAATATTTGCTCCCCAGGTAGGTGCCTAGCGTCTCATCAGGAAGAGAGGGTTCCCCAGGAAAGCCTGTGAAGGGACCACATCTAGACAGTCCCTTTCAGCAGGATCTGCACCTATTTTTCAGAGGGTAGCTGGCCCCGGATGTTTTGGGCAATGTGTAGAAATTCTATCCAGGTTACTGAACTACATGAAATATCTACAAGAGAAGAGGGCTCCAGCCAATGAGCACAGAAAGAATTCAAATGTCTGCGATGCCTATGTGGCCTCCATGATCTGAGTGCCTCAATTTTTAATGTATTTATCCTCAGCACCCCTAGGAGTAGTGCTAGCATCCCCGTTTTGCTGATGGGGAATTAAAGCCACAGAGAGAATAAGGGGCTTGCCAAAAGTCACCCAGGACTTCTGTGGAAGAGCAGGGAATCTACTTCAAGGGAAGCTAAGAAGGGACAATACACAATAATTTAGTCTCCAAAGGCTTTTCCAAACCACTTCCTCTCTCTTCTCTTAGATACCAAATGAAAATCCATGTTCTCAGTTAAGCACACCACCACTTTCTGGCGCGCTCAAAAGTTTCTTGCCTGCGTTTGTGGTCAGACAAGCGCAAACGCCTTTCTGCATGTTCACACATCTGAATTCTGGAGGCGCAGAGCCAACGCTACGTGGGTGTAGCTGACGAACAGCAGCTAAGGCCGACAACTACCCAAAGTTGCAAACGGCCATGAAGATCATTCCAGCTGGCAAGGCGATTTACAGGATGGTAAAATCTGAAACTGCGCTTCCCCAGAATAACTTTGCAGACGGTGCTCCAGATGCCTATGTGTGCATGCATGCAAATTTAGCACTAGAAACTGGTTGCAGTTTAGCGTCAGATTGACAGCCCTGGAGACCGGAGCCTTCTGGTTATCTCGGAGAACAAGTACAGCATGGACAACCTTCCCCACCCTGCCTCTATTCTTACCTTGGGTAGATCGACACTGCAATCAGAGATATCACTGCAGCACATGTCAATGTACTCAAGCTAACTTTGATCTAGCTAACTTGGGTACCAATAGCAGTGAAGCCATAATAGCATGCGTTAGGGCTAGTCACCCAAGTTATGTACCCAGGATCCTGGATGGGCTTGGACAGCTCATGCTGCCGTGGCTTCCTTGCTATTGGTACCTGAGTTAGCTAGAGCCAAGCTAGCTCGGGTATGTCTACATGTGCTGCAGTGAACACAAGAACGGCCATACTGGGTCAGACCAAAGGTCCATCTTGCCCAGTATCCTGTCTTCCAACAGTGGCCAATGCCAGGTGCCCCAGAGGGAATGAACAGAACAGGGAATCATCACCCCCGGCGCCCATTCCCAGCTTCTGGCAAACAGAGGCTAGGGACACCATCCTTGCTCATCCTGGCTAATAGCTATTGATGGACCTAGCCTCCATGAACTCAGCTAGTTCTTTTTTGAACCCTGTTATAGTCTTGGCCTTCACAACATCCTCTGGCAAGGAGTTCCACAGGTTGACTGTGTGTTGTGTGAAGAAATATTCCTTTTGTTTGTTTGAAACCTGCTGCCTCTTAACACCTCCGATTGCAGTGTAGACAGACCACTGGAATGGAAGGATAATTCATCTAAGGTCCATGCTCCCTACTGAGACTACCAGCTGGGAAAAACTGTTGTGACCAGTAGGCCGCATTCAATGAGACTCAGATATTATAGAAAGATGGAGGCCAGTTAGGGCTGCTCACATGAGAGGATTGATAGGATGAGGCTCAAGGTAGCTAATCAGAGCTAAGCCATAATTTCTACTGCTGTAGTACCTAGAGCGGCCTTTAACAGGTCAGAGCCCCAGAACGCTGAGCACCATAGAAACTTCTTCTAAGACAGTTGTCCACTGGAAACCAGCTGGAGATCACCCCAACTGATTTCCACCCAGGCCACCACCAGCCATCAAATGTCACTCAACTTAAGGGGGAGATTCAACATCAGTGACACGGAGGTGAAAGATTCCGCTAAGGATTTCTGTGCTTTGGTCAAAGAGAGATATGGTGTTGGTCTGTCCTGACGAGGACAGCTTGGTTAATCCTATGCCAGAGAAAACAGGCAAAAATCCTCTGCTTTCAGAGATGCTGCACTTAAAAAGGGAGAAATACCAAGACTAGAGGAACTAGCAGAGGCCAGCTCTGTTTCTACCCACTTCCTGAGCCCAGCCCCCATCTCTTCCTGATACAGTTCATAAAAAGAGAGTTTAGGCTAGCTAGCATTTCTGGAGTTCACTCCACTTGCCAGCCCTCCCTCCGCCCTGTTCTGGGCTTGCTCTCCTTCCAAAGGAACTGCCCTCAGCCACGCAGTACTTGTGGGTAACTGCCACTCGGCATCATCATCCGTGGCAGACACACTTTGGGTGACAAGGTGATGGTTTGGGGGAAGGTTTGGAGGAAAACAATGCAACTCACCTCCTCAGAGACCTTTGGAGATAGGTCGAATGAAGCCCCCCTCTAGTAACGTTAGGTAGCACTCCATGGAAGTTAAGCCAGGTACACAGATACGGAGTTAATTCTCTCTCTCTCTCTCTCTCTCTCTCTCTCTCTCATTATTTTTGTTACAAAGAGCTCCAGTCAACATAGAGTTAAGCTCACTGGGAGCAGGACATCACCCTTGCTATCATCAAAGCAGCTGTCTCTGCGCATCATTTTTTCATACTACTGTTGAATTACAAATTCCACAATGATTGCAAAAGCACTGGGAATTAGACACACACACACACACACACAGGCTAGTGCTCAGAACACACCTCCCACTCACTCACTTTGTTTCATAGCATGATTTCTCAGCTCCCGAAGCAGCTGGACAACTGAAAGGGTTACGTTCTGAGCTACGTTCTGAGCTTTCCTTGCAAAGGCACAAAGCAGTAACACATGAATGAAGCATACCTTCTCTTGGGCTCGGCTAAATCGCTTTTGGACCTGCTTTGCAAACTGCCCGGCTCCTCCTGTCTTGCCATCTGCCATGGCTGCAGCTCACGGTGCAATTTCTGTTTTCAGTATGAACTTGTGGTTTTAAAGTTTTCTGGGGGAGGAAGTAAACAGACCGTCAGCTGCCACCATGCTCAGCATCCGCTTAAAAATCAGATCAGGGAGTGTTTAATTTCCATTGCTGAATGCTGAGCAGCCACTGTCTGGTCTGCCCAAGGATTGAAGGTTCTGTATGTTTGGCTGGTTGGATTTGGGTGGGTGTGACGCTTGGCTAGAAAGGGTTAAACATCCTGCAAAATAAGTAACCCACAGAAGACATGTGGGGAGATAATTTTTGTGTATTTACATATGTCTGAGTGGACAATGTAATCAACAGTTCCTGTCTATGCTGTATTCTGATATTTCAGAGGTCAAAAGAACATCCTATCATGTAAATGAATTGTAAACACGGGACATCTCAGTATTCATCTCTCTTTGAAATGTACTGTGAATGGTGGACAAACAAGCAAATGGCCTTATGTTAATTTGTATAGCTAAGTACCGGTGATGGACCTTCTTCAAAGTCATCCTAATTACCTTGCCGAGGAATTCCAACTTGTCAAAATACATGAAATTATATAAAAGATCCTTGGGTCCTATAACAAAGTGAGTGGTTCTCTTGGTTTTTTCAATGGGTTGCATGCAGTGGGGGTGGGACTCAGTTTCCCTGGGCGTTACTGGTTTAACGAGATGGTGGGAGAGGGAGTTTGTTGTTACAGAGGACCAGTGACTGAACTTGGGACCCCGGCCAACGGCCTGGAGAATGGATACCCCAGTGACTGGTGACCCAGCTCGGGACTCACAGCAGGTTCTGGCCAGTGGTAGGACAATGGGCTGCGAAGAGAGGACCCCGGTGACCTGACCAGCCGGTTCCAGCCAGAGGAGGACAAAGGTCGGCTGAGAGGAGAAGAGGCCCAGGTGGCTCTGTTTACCTGGATAGAAGACAATGGACAGAGGCGGGGTTTGTGGGGGGTGATATCATCTGCCCAGCTGGAAAGCGCAGGGTCTCTGGCTAGAGAGAGGGAGCAGGCAGAGCCCACCTGGATGCAGGAGAGACTTAAATGTACTGTGCTGAGGGAGGTCAGGCCCAAGAGTTTCCTATGCTGTGTTCAGACACTCAATAAACCCTGCTGTTTTCTGCTGGCTGAGAGTCACTCCAGTCTAGAGAACAGGGTTGCATTATTCCCTCTGGGAGTGGAGGCCCCGGGGGTCTGGAGCGAGTGGACTCTCCCTGAGGCGTGCTAAGGCTCAGAGAGGTGCAGTTCTAGGAGGTGGAGGGGCTTAACCCTCAAGAGAGGTGAACCCCCGAGAAGGGCTGTCCCACTGAAGGGGGTTCCCTCCATGGACCACCCAGGCCAAGAGTGGACACGACCTGTGAGTCTGTGACAGGTCCTGATTCTGTCATCTCAGAACTGCTTAGACTTCATTAGGGGAAGTTTGAGTCACAAGACTGAGGTCCCAGTTATGCTGGTATGCCCTGAATATGAGATTTGGACATTCAACTATGACCTATGAACTGAATTCTAAAGGAACTCTTTGCAACTACAAAGCTCACCATCTTTGCTATGAATCTGCACCTCAATTAATCGAGCTCATGTCTGTATGTATATTGACCTTTTAACCATACACTCTCTCTCTCTCTCTCTGTTTTTTAATACATTTAAGTTTAGTTTCTAAGAATTGGCTGCAGTGTGTATTTGGGTAAGATCTGAAACATGCATTAACATGGGAGGTAATGTGTCTGATCCTTTGGGATTGGTAGACCCTTTTCTTTTGTATGATGAAATAAAATTTACAGAAATGTTCATCATATTTGATGTGGGTACCAGGATGGAGGCCTGAGGCTGGATCACTTTAAGGGAACTGTGTTGTTTGGACTTCTGAGCAACCAGTAAGGTAATAAAGAAGCTGTTTCATGCTAGCTTGGTAAATCTAAGTACTGGAATATCCACCAGCTTTATGGGGAATTGTCTGCCCCATTCTTTGGGGTTCGCCCTAATTAATTGACCACAGCTGGCTCCCCACTAGGACCCCGGTCATAGTGGCATAGTCGTGCTTGGATATACATTACCACAGGTTAATTAGGTTTTTGGATCAGAACCACACGTTTGTCAAAATATTATTTTGATATTGGAGAGTTTAAGGGTTAAAAATCAGTTACAGTGAGTGACCCATGATCAAGATCCTGACAGAAAAAGCCTGGAAGAATTGTACTCACAGAGGGGGTTATCTTAAGAAAAAGATCCCAGAGCAGGAACTGAGAAATCTGTTAATTGCCAGTGATAAGGAAGCAGACCCAGCAAAAATGCTTGCAGTGAGAAACCAGAAATGAGGAAAAAATTGCTTATATGGAAGGAGAATCTGCTGAAAGAGAACACCAGTGTTTTGAACATGAACAAAGAATGACATATATTTGATTTCAGGAAGTGGAAGCTAAGGCAAAAGTGGACAGACTTAAGCACCAACTGAAGAGAATAAAGGAACAACAGGAACTGTATCATTCTGGAAAGCCAGCTCCTCTCAACAGTAAAGATGGGGATAGAATCTATCCAGTTTGTAAGAATGTTCGTACGTTGTTTGACTCTAAGCAGTCGTCTGTGTGTAACCAAATTTACCCCAACGCTGCCACCTTTTATGTAAATGCTTTTACTGTGAGCTCAGGTGAAGGTAACCCCATACCTTGTGCAGAGAATGTAAAAGTCAATGGAAAAAGCTGTTTAGAGCAAATTACAGCTTCTAACATCACTCTTGTTAGAACAGATTTTGTCCAAAGAGGAAGATTATTTACCAGATAAGAGTGTGAATATTGTAATCCTCTATGAGTTTACTGTAAGTGTGCCTTGAGCCAGAATCCATCTTGAATGGAATGGTGTTAAACATGAAGTTATAGCTGGTGTAAGGAAGTTATTGCCTAAGGATCTTTTGATTGGGGATGAGACTAAAGCTTTGTTCAGTCAGGTTAACATAAATCAGTCACAGGAAAGAAATATTCCTGAACCTGTATCTACTGGGGCAAGGATTTGCCTATGGAGGGTTTCTCCAAATGTTTGTCTGTGCAAAGAAGCAGTGCAAACGTGGAAGAAATTTCTGAGTGTCTGTCTGGTATCTCAGAAGTGAATTTGGCTTTAGATAAGGCTCAGGAAGATGTTTCTCTAGAGCAAATTAAAATTGGTGATCAGGTTAAAGCCCTAACTGAGGAAGGAAAGGGTACATTCTTGGTAAGTGATGGATTGTTGGCAAGGTTAGTGGAACATGAGTATCCCTATACTTTACCTGTTAGCACTGTGGAGAATTGTGACAGTAAAGGAAACGGTCCTGTGTCTGTCAGGGGTAATGACTTGCCTATGAAGGGAGCTACCCTAATCTCCAAGCAATTGTCTGTGAACAGCCATGTGTGCTGGGACAAAGGAAAGGATATCCCAAGGTATTTTGTCTGTTAAAGGGGAATGTTTCTCCATCTCTTTTCTGTTTGTAGAGCAGACAGAAAAAGTTTGTCAGCCTATGATGGTTGAAAATTTATCTGTTAACCCAGGCCTGATTCTGGATACAACTAAAGCCCAGGAAGGAAGTGGTCCCGAATTTGTGTCTGCTAGGGAAGATGACATTGCAACTAGGTTGCATCCAATTGATGTCATAAATAGCTCCCAGAGACCAAGTGATTCTGGTGCTTCTATTTTGCCTGTTGCTGGGTAAAGATATGACAACCTTGCCTGATCAGGGTGATATCATAGCCAGGGCACAAGAAAAACATGAAGGTGATTTGATTATGTTACCCACTGACAGCGTGGAAACTTGTAACAGGAAGAGAATACTTCTAATCTTTTGACTACGAAGTCGAGCAGTTTACCTGAAAGGGGGTTTTGTGAAAATCCTACTGATGGGTCAGAAGGGATTCTGGATTTAAGTGAAACCCAGAAGTCGTCTGTTATTGCTCAGGAAAATGTTCCTTTAGAGCAAGCCCTAGGTGAAAAGGATAAGGGCAGAATTTCTGTGAAAAATGAGTTGTTACTTAGAAAGATTCATGAAAAGGAAAATCATAGAATCATAGAATATCAGGGTTGGAAGGGACCCCAGAAGGTCATCTAGTCCAACCCCCTGCTCAAAGCAGGACCAATTCCCAGTTAAATCATCCCAGCCAGGGCTTTGTCAAGCCTGACCTTAAAAACCTCTAAGGAAGGAGATTCTACCACCTCCCTAGGTAACGCATTCCAGTGTTTCACCACCCTCTTAGTGAAAAAGTTTTTCCTAATATCCAATCTAAACCTCCCCCACTGCAACTTGAGACCATTACTCCTCGTTCTCAAAATCTTCAGGGTAGATTTTGCAACTGATGGGTTTGGAAGTGATTTGATTGAGTTAACGCAGGGTGAATCACTATATAGAGAAAGCAACAGTTTGTTTGGAGACTTGTTCCCATTTCTAACTGCCAGAGTCTTTCTGAGGTGTATAGATCCAGGGCCAATCAGAGGGGGGGCCAGGAGGGCCATTTGACCTGGGCCTCAAGCTCAAAGGGAGCCTCAAATTTAGACACTTATTAATTTTTTGGCATTTGATAAGTTTCGCAACTTGTTTTTATGCCCATCTTTATCGGACCAAAATGTGACACACACACAGCTCAGAGCTGCAAATTTAAGCAAATAAGAGATGTGATTTGGTAAAAGACAATTTTGTTAACTGATATAGATTGTGTCATATTAAAGAGTTAAAAATGTTCATAAATATTAATTAAAATATATTGGTTCTGATGGCACAAGGTTAGACCGTGATGAACGTGTCCTCTCAGATCAGCTGATTATATAAACAAACCACTACTAGTGGCTGGTGCTGGATCAAGTGAGTGTTGAAAGGTAGAGCATTGTTACATTTTAGTGTCCTTATAGTTTTACATCTAGTTGACTAAGGAATTATTTGTGTGTGAGAATACTCATTATTATTTTCATATGGTAGCTAAGAGAGGTGACTGGTTGGTTGGTTGAGCCCTGGGCTTGGTAGCCAGCATCATAGGCTTTTGAAGTCTATAGGCCCAGCTTCAAGGTA